CTGGCAAGAGAATGTCGAAATTTTCTTATTCTGATCACCATCGATAACAGATGTTCCCAGTGTTGTTTTCAAAAACCCATGGGTGTAACTATGTTCTGAACAAATTTTGATAGAACGAAGGTAGTAAGGTACGATTCTTACTATTCAAAATGGAAATGCTAAGAGATTAAAACTATATTATTTATGATTGGTTTGAAGTTGACGGATTTAATGCATTTTTGCTGAAGATCTTTGTGAATGATTTTCTAGAAAGATTTTTCATTGATTTTTGGTTTTACTTCCTCTTATTTGTGAAGAAGAGCTTAGATTCGACAAATCTATGCAAGACTGCAATCTTTCGAGTATATCGTTTAAGAATCACAAAGGTTTTTCGAAGATCGTCGATTTCGACTAACTGATCTCCGATCATCTTAAAACAGTCCAGATAAGTATAATGAACCACGATAACTCTATTGGAGATATTTGTTTCCAGTTTCAGTGGTATTTTAAGTCACCATATGACAATCTTTAAAATGTATTCTAGAATTAGAGTGTTGAAAATTTTTATCTAGTGACTTAGAATCCCACTGAAACTGAAAACAAACATCACTAATAGACCGATCATGGTTCATTAGCATTATCTGGACTCGTTTTGAGATGATCTGAGATCAGTTCCTGGAAATCGAGGATCTCTGAAAAACATTTTTTAACTCTTGAAAAATGCACTCTAACTATTTCAGCTTTGTATAGATCGTTAGAATCTGAACTCCTCGTCACAAATATACGTGGGTAAATTCAAAATACAAAGAAAGAGTTTTCTAGAAAATAGTTCTCAAGATCTTCAGCAAAAGCGCGTTGAATCCGTCAACTTCAAACCAATCATAGATCACATAGTTTTAAACTCTTAGATTTCTCTTTTGAATAGTAAAAATTGTAGCTTGCTACTTCTGTTCTATTAAAATTTATTTATAAAATAGCCACTCTCATTGGTTTTCGAAAACGACAGTAGTACGAAAAAAAATTGATGGTATGGTAGACGTTTCTTTTTTGACATATAGCTTTAATTATATAAGTGTAAGAAAGCAGAATTTATTCTCATTTTAAAAATGTCGACTAGAATCATACAACTAATATAACCAAAACAAAAGTGACTGTCAACCATACTATTTTGATGAATTAATTCTTTGTTTGGAAAATTTAATCGATATATCTTGATCTGAATTCTCTCGACCATCGAAATTATATCATATCTTCAGTCTGTCTTCGATCTTTTGGTTCGCTACTCATAGAAACAGAAATTTTCAAAGCTCATCTATATTTTTTTCTCTTCAGCATACTGCATGATTTAATTATTTTTTGTAGAATTTTCAGGATTTTTTTCTCTCGAATAAATGATAGTCAACTAGACATTTAAATCTTTTTCATTCATATGTGACTGAATAGAGCTTTGATTTATCTATCGATTTATGTAATTTTAGTCCAATATAGCTGAGTTCTTGTATAAGTAAATTTTGGATTATACAAATAGCATTAGACGCCTATTTTTTATTAGTACAACATTACCTAAAAGTTCAACAGTAAAATAAAATTTTCTCCTTAAATTCAAAACAATTTCATTCAATACTTTCTACAACTCTAAGTTTGATGGATCTCTTCAATTTAAAACCATTTTCACAAAAATTGGATTTAGTCTCATTGAGATATGAACGTGTAAAAACGTTTTTCTTTAAAAGGACTTTCGAAATTTATTAAAGTTTTGACACAATTGCGAAATCAATCAAATTAAAACTATATAATTCGATAGGGTTATCAATATTCTATTCAACCATATAAGAAGAAAAAACTTCTGAAGTTTTGCAGAAATATAGTAAGTTGAAGAAAACTACTTGTAAAAATAAGTAAATTAGACTGTACATGTTACATAGAGAATATAACAACTCTATTTATACTGTACGACCTTTATTCTCTATACATAAACTTGTTTCTTTATGATGGGCTATTGGTAAAAAAGAAGAGAAAATAAGAACGTTGAGATTTTTTTCCTTCTATTCGTTTGAATTGCCTCTAAGAAAAAGAAAAAGAACTCATGTCTTACGAATATAATCGACAAAAAACATCAACAGCACGACAAAAAAAAAGCATATCATATATAAATCATAGGTTATATGTATAATTACTCTATTGAAAAGATGAATTTGGAATCATTAGCAAATGAATTGTTACTCAATCTTTTTGAATATTTTGCCAGTGTTCATCTTCTTCAAATTTTTTATAATCTCAATATTCGCTTCAACAATCTCATCTTTCGTCATTTCCAAAGACATAGTCTTCATTTTCAATCAATATCAAAATATGATTTTGATATAGTTTGTCAAAAATATCTTCCATCAATAACCGATCAAATAGTTTCTCTTCGTCTTTCAGACGATGATGACACTCCACAACAAATTGATCTGTTCTTTTCATATGGTTTATCTTTTAATCAATTTTCTCATTTACAATCATTATCAATTTATCATGTTTATTCTTTAAATTCCACGGAAAAAAATAACAAGTGAACTACTTTATCTTTCTCATCTTACACATCTAAAAATAACTAGACATACAATTGTATATAATGAAATATATGATATTGAAATTATTGATTCAATCGAACGATTTCCAAAACTTGTATATTGTTATTTAGATATAATAAATGATAATGAATATTGTTTTCTAACACCATCAATTATTTCTTCATCTCTTAAATATTTATCTATTCCATATTTGGATTGTAATATAAATCAATTAATATATTTAATTAAACATATATCTAATCTTCAATCACTTAATATACGTATTGTAGAACATTCGATTATTCTAGAAACACTAACAAATTTTTATCAATTAAAAAATTGAAAATTAGTTTTTTTAATACATTAAATACAATGAAAAATCTTTTACAAACAATGTCAAATTTAGAAAAATTAAAAATTGAAATGGAATCAACTTATATTGATGGTTATCAATGGAAAACGATAATTGAAAATTATTTACTAAATTTAATTATTTTTCAATTCAAAATGTCAACACCATTATCTAATCAAGATAATAAAGAAGACAAAATTGATGAAATATTAAATTCATTTTATAGTCAATTTTGGATTGAAAAACATCAATGGTTTATTCAATGTTATTGGATAACAGCTGATACATCATCAATTGTTTATGTATATACATTACCATATGCATTTCAAGATTTTTTTTATATTGGTAATGTTCGATTAAAATCAACATGTCCTAATAATAATCAATGTTGGTCTTTTGATTCTATACATAATTTATATTATGGACATTTTCTATCTCAAAATTTGTCTTTATCTCATATTCATTTAGATAATATTCACTATTTGGATTTAACAATACCATTTGATGAATCATTTTGGTTAATGGTATCAACACTTGAACGATTAAATTCTTTAAATATTGTTTTATATAGTAATAAAGATTTGATTGATATTCATTCAAAATTACAAATATTATTTGATCGATCACCTCATCTTTGCTAATTAAAATATTTCTCATGGTTCGCTCAAGATGAATTTCCATTTAATATAAAACATTCATCTATTCGACAACTTGATTTACAAGGACCAAATATTATTTATAATCAATAACAATGTTTAAAATTAAGTCATTCATTAATTGGTCAACAATGTAAAGTTCTTTTTATTACTGTTAAACAACGAACAGATATAATTGATCTAATTAATAATATGAAAAATCTTCATGCATTAATTGTACAATGTAATAAGACAATACCAATGCAGAAAGAAAATGAAAATCTACTTGATTGGTTACAACAACATTTGCCAATAACATGTTTGATTTCAAATTCTATAGAAATTAGCAATAATATTTGTTTGTGGATTCGTTGATGAAGAATTTAGTCTATATGTGAACCCTTGTCTAATTATTTTATGAGAAAAATTTTAATTCTTTGTCTGACTAAAGAGTAATTTAAGGCGCAACAAATTCAAACTTATCAGACCTTTTCTTTTATGTTCGATTATACTATTTGATAGAACTTTGCAAACTGATTTAGAATATCTAATTGACGCAAATTTTCAGATGAAAAAAATCGAAGACTTCACAGATCCCTTTTTTCAAGAGCAGTCGTTTTCCTTTTTAAACGAAATAACTCAGTCGAATTCATTTCTCGAGTTTTTATTTTCAATGATAGTTTATTGTGAGCTATCTATTAGTAATGCGTATTACGAAGACTTCTATACTTATTATATTAGATATAATTAATTGCAATGTATTGAAACATAAACATCACAACTAGCAGTCTTCAAGAATTGAGAAATTGAAATTCGTAAATATTGAAGAACTATCAGTGATATCATAATAATTTCTCGGCGACCGAGATTAATCATGAATTCTATCGATTTGTAATATCGCAAGTGATGCATTGTTCCATCTAATATTCATTGTCATACGTTCATCTTTGGAGAACATTCCACTGATCTGAATTTAAAAGCAAAAAAATATCGTGGGTAATACACTTTTGTGATTTTGAGGATCATAGAATGGTAGGAAGATTCAGGAGATTATTCCTCAATGATACCTGACAGAATTTGTACATAATCAAAAAATAAACTTATTTATATGATTGATCCAATGACACAGTCGTAATACAAACTGTCTTTATCGGTTATACACATAAAAGATTTGTAACGAAAATAGAAAACCTTCTTTTAGTCTATGAGAGCGTTAACAGTTTTTGCACTAAAAGTAAGAAATAATTTTCATTCTATAATATGTAAAAACACTTCATTTTTGACATAGACAATCTTGAGTGTTCAAAGATACTTTGCCTTTCAACCTAAATATATATATATAAATGATTTTTTTAAGATGAGTTAACACAGGAAGTATGAATAATGCACGATATCGGCACATAGTATCCGTATTAACAAATGGAAATGTGTTAGTTATTGATAGACTCAGTGGTATTTCTCTAAATAGTTCAGAATTATGTTAGTTATCTTAAATAGATTAACAATCAATAATCTTATGTTTATTTATACTCGCAATCGTACTTTAGAATCCTATAATTTGACAAAGAACACTATTATATTCTAACAATGATAAAATTTTTTCTTTTGATGTCTTTGCTAAATGGAGATAAACTTGAAAAAGTCCATTTAACATAGCACAAGAGTTTTGTATCTATGGTTTTTTTTTTGAATAAGTTTATAATAATGATAAAAGTATCAGACGATATGATGATTTTTATTGTATTCAACCGGTTTTGTTAGATTGATAATTTCTTTTCTTTAAAAAAATTCAATTCTTTGTATGATAATAAGTGATGCCGTTTCAATGCTTTCTGCTACATTTGGAGCGTGAAATTTTGTATTATTGAAGTAATTTTTCAGAGTTTATTTTTCTTATTAAGAATAAATCGTAATTGTACGTCCTACACATCTTCAATGAGAAGTTTTATTTCAACATTCGAATGAATGAATCGCCATTTAAATCTTTTCTTGATGTGCTTTTGACATGATAGAAACTTCTAAAAATATCGTTGTGATAAATGAGTACAATCAATACGAGCAGAATTTCTCAATTATCTATTTTCTCTTTATTTCAGTTTTAGATGAATATTTACCTCATGTATTCGAGCTACAATTTGTGCATTTCAATTTGTTATCTCAATCGATTGAATGATACTTTCATTAAGAATTGAGTTGATAATTAAGAATGTCTTTCGTAGAGATCAGACATTCATGTTAATCACGATGTTTGAGATTTTGTTTTAAAATAAAAATAGATTTAATTATCATTCTCAAAATTTCTGAACATAGTATCTCAGATATATGAATGTCTGAGATGTGATATTCAAAAATTTTGAAACTCTTTTTATAAGCTATTAAAATCGAGTTCTGTATTTAGATGAAGTTTCAGATCAAAGTTCAATAATGTGTTTTTGTTGGAAGAACTCGGATTCTGTAGAAAAAGAATCCATTAATGACTCAATATTTCTGCCAAACTTCAATAATAATACATATCCTTTGGAGATTATTTTAACTACTAATTCATGTATTCGAGAATAGATTCATATGTCAACACATTTTTTTCGTTTTTTTTTATGGTGTACATTAAGACGCTCTTGACTTAAATTTAGAAAATAGAAGGGAATAGGTCTTCTGTATTGAAAATATAGAAAAATAAAGTTTGAAATCGAGTTTTTTTAATGAAACTTGCAAATAACTAAAAATTTTTCAGATGACTAATGCATGTAACGTTTTCCAATACATTTGGTTCTAAATCTTATGAATAAAAAGTTTTTTTTTTCTTCAGATCATAACGTAGAAAGTTGTCTTATTATCCAATAAACCTCAACTCGAATCATATTCTTCGATTACTGAATGAGATGTAGTATAATCATTCTTTCTTGCTTTGCGAAGGACATTCTTTTTTCTATATTCTATCATTGCATCATGCTCTACCAGCACAAGTATATAGTCATCCTAATTTTAAATTCAAAAAATTAATTCATCAAATGAACTCAAATAAATAATCCATAAAACACATACTGATTTCATAAGTCAAGTTATTGTTTTTCGTTTATTAATAAATAAGAAGAAAAAAGAAAATTATAATTGACAAGTCAATTTTCGATAGACTTCTTTCATAAAATCTTTTGATGCTTTCCGAAAAACTGTACCGCCACTTATTGTATAAACATAAAATGGCATACCACTTGCTATAAAAGCTAGAATTACTTCAATATTATATAGAAAATGATTTAAAGCATCTTCTTGTTTGCTAAGTAAATTATGTGGTTTAAATGTAATATAAAATTTTTGTATTGCTTGTGGAATACAAAATATAGTTAAAAGAAGAACTTGTACTAATAACATTCGAACTAAATGATGATCAATTTTTTTTATTCTTAATTCTTCTGTTCTTGATGATATAACTGTTGATATAATTGTTCGTGTATGTACACGAGTATGAATATGATGTACATTTGAAATAATAGTTAAACCAAATATAATCATTAAACTTAATGGAATTATTATTGTTATAATAGCATAAATTAAATCAGTCATAATACGACATTCAACTGATTTACCATAACATTTTAATGGTTCATCATTCATATTAGCTTTATAACAGCAAATCATATGAATATAAAAAACAATCGATAGAATTACAACGATAAAAATTACTCGTTTAATATTTTTTAAATTACTCATTTGTCGACGATGAATATCAATAGATGATAATAACCATCGATCAATTGTAGCTAATGTAATTAACCATATGGACATTGTTCTTGTACTAAATACAATAAAAACACGAGTTTTACATGCCCAATCAAATGTATTTGTTGGATCAACGTGCCAACCAGCTAATATTCGAGTTGGTAAACCAATTAGAATGGAGATAAGACTAGTAAAAGATGAAATCAAAAAAAGTAGTGCACATGAATTTGATCGAAGTGTTCGTTTTGATAGAATAAGACAATTTAGAATATTTCCTACTACACCAACAATAAAAATTATAGGTGCTACATATCTATTGAGTTGATCAGAGATATATTCTAATGATTGAGTAAATTCATCAGTCATTGTAATTTAAAACAAAAATATTTTCAATAATACAATTGACGATAGAAGTAGAATAGTAACGCACAGACTTTATGGGACGTTTTGTTCCGAACTCAAGAAAATATTGAAATTGTTTTAAAATTTTTTGAGTTGATAATGTTTTGAACTTGTTCTAGAATGTGTAACGAATGAGATTTTTTATACTGAGAGATTAGTAGTAAATATTAATTTCCGCAATATAAGTATAATGGATCTGTTGAAAGAGAAAAACTGTAGATATAGTAACTAATAAGAGAATCTTTATGAATTTCAAGTATAACTATTAATACCTTTTAAAGTCATCATATCAAATTTAATTCCACCAATTGAACTTCTTTATATAAAACTTTTATATATGTCATTCGAGCATATTTCCAGTAGCTATTACATTCGCTGAAGTTAAGTTTTATCTTCAAAAAAAGCGATTAGTTCAACATCATTGAAAGCTATTGTTCTATTTTCAATTAAAAATTCTCTATGAATGCCTTTGTTCATCCTACTAATAATTCTATTTATGTCAAAACAAAGTAAAAAGTTTTTTATTCTCTTATGCTTATATATCTATTGTAATATATAATCAATCTGTAATCTATGAGCATTGTAGATTAATCGACAACATCTTGTACGATTAGCAATTTATATATTAAGTCGAAAAGTTGAATTTAATTATTCAATATCTTATATCTGAAATTTAAATATTCAATTAATATCTTAGATCAGGATTCGAGTATTTTCCTCCGCGATTCGTTGTACGCTTGATCCAACTTTCATTTTGATGGATCTAAGTAGATCTCGACGAGCCCCATCAAATGCACTAATTTTTATCTAGTTTCAATAGAGCCATTATTACTAAAAGTTCATCAAGTTCATATATATATATACATGTGTGAAATGTATGCTAAAAATATTGTTTTGTATTAGTTTTCCTTTTTTGAAGTTGAAATAGGTGTAGTATCACTGAACTTATGTAGAACTTGTCTATCTCTACAAGGTCCAGTTTTTTTGTTGGTTTTTAAACATTTCCTGTCGAGCTTAGCATGTAATGTCCTAGTGTACTAGTGGTTGAATACTAACGTATTATCCGCAATAAGATAGTGCGAGATAATGTAAATCTTTAGATAGCTTGAACTGATGCCTGCTTGAAATGAAGATAACTGTAGTGTTTGTTTTTGGCTGGGTGTGGGTGTATGTATAGATCTTTCTTTTACTCACACTCACACCCACACCCCACTTTTCTAATTTTCTGCTGTAACAATTATTTTTAAATATCAATACTAATCGGAGGTTAATCCGTTGAAGATATTCGCAAATTATATACTTAGAAATTGATGATTTTACTATGTTTGAATACATGAAAATAATAAGACAACTTTTTGAATCGATACACAGTTGTGACGTGTAAATATCACATCGGTCTGTGTTACATTTCCTTTTAATATGAATAAGATCTTAAAATATGTGTGAGTTCATTTTAAGGAAAACATAACATTATTTTTAAGAATAATCTTCTAGTTGTTGTTTTCTTTTATTTATTTTTTCTTTTTCTTCTGCACTACCATATTGGTATATATCACATACATATATAATATTAGATGAAGAGAAAAACTATAAACAAAAGTGACACGAAAGAAATAAGAAATATAAAGAAAGATGTCATTCCTAACAGCCTGAAGCCTATTGAATCAGCACAAACAACAAATCATGACGCCTTTCGAAGAAAAACAAAAATTTGATTGAAACGTTTTCTTATTGAAATGCACTTTGTTTTAATGTTTCGAGAATGATTTTGAAAATGATATTATTTGTCATTTTTGTTTATTTAGAAAATCAAGAGAAATTTGATCAAGAAATATACATTGAATTTTTCTACAACTAAACAAAAATTTATCACCGTTTGATTTAGGATGGTTGAAGCCGTGTCGACATGGCGTTGCCTTTAATATATGTTGCGGTGATGTTGGTTTTGCTGGACAGATTGTTAAAATAATTCCTGCACACTTTGTCCGATTGTAGTTAATTTCGATAGATTCGAGCACAATATGTTCTTTTAATATGCATCCACTTGTGTCGCACAAATGTGGCGCTAAAAGAAACAGAAATCAATCTAAGATGAATGATATAAAAGATTTTTGTTTTACCTGTCATGTAGCCAATCCGAGACGCTAACAGTGGAACTTCATCTTCTTTCGTTCGAAGGGCCACATGATGCTTGGAAATTGAAAAACGTTTCTTGTTGAATTGGGTGCAGCATTTGCTAACTTCTTTCTTAACGCTGGAGTATCTTTTGCTATTGGGCACCAGATGTATTAATGTTTTGGGATGTGGCCCTGATAAGCATGTTTCCGTTATTAAACAGGATATCCACTCGACGAAGTGAGGACCTAAAAACAGAACTTCTAAGAATAATAAAAAAATAAAACAAACTTACCATCATAATCTTTGAGACTGGTCATCTGTTGTAACTCTTCCATCGTTAATGTTGGCGTGAGGTGTCAAGGATTGATGCGTCGAACATAATCATCACCTTTTTCCATTTCATTGTATAAATTCTCACATTGTTCCTTGGTGATCATCTTGAGAAATGTTTGCGTACAAGCGATTTCTTCTTCGACCGTTCCTCGTTCCGTTACCTTCGCCTTCTGTCGTGTGAGTCCACGACCACACCTTGCATCCTTCAACTTGTTCTAAAACAACAAAAATTCGATGACCTTTTTTTTCTTTGTGCTCACCACAACGGCTTGATACGGCACTCCCATCATAACCGAAATTTCCGTTTTTTGAGCTGTCATCGGTAACGGATTGGCTCGCAAAATTTGCTCAATGTAACACTTCCCAGCAGTAGTCCACTGACTATTACGCTCCGTGAACATAAAAATATTTACAGGTAACATAATTACTGAAAAATCACACAAAAACAACAAAGAAATAAGAAAAAAGAAGGAACGCACAAATATACAGAAAAAACAAACAATAAATGAATAACAACAAAAAAACCAAACAATAAATGAATAACAAAATATAGAATACGTTAGCTGGAATATTGATAGCGTCTGTTACGTATATTAAATGTTCTGAATTATACATTGATCATTCTATTTCAATGACACAGACTCCTAATCTTAATTAGCTATTAATCACTTCCCATCTCACGTAAATTAATTTATCTCTTTGAGAATAATCATTAGTCACGACCTTTCATCATTCACAGAACATAACACTCCATCAAATGAATCTATATATACATATATTGTGCACGTTTAACATCCAGTTTACATATCATTATCAAGTTAAACAACATTCAATAATTTCTTATGGCATCTTCAACAACAAAACCACAGCAATTTCTTAATTCTTTCAAATCTCATGAAATAAATGATTTTAAAACAGCTTTACTCTCACCTGATCATCATTTTGATTTAGTGAATCGTCGCCACGTCGACTCATCGCTCGATCTGGATCAACTTTCAACAATGAAAAGTGTTCGACCACTAGGCGGTGAGTAATATTATGATTAAATAAGCTAAATTGTAACTGTTCTTTTAGGTGCTTTCTTTATAAATTGGATGAAATGCAAGATTGAACAACATCACCTCAACGAACCGCCAGTTCAACACCCGAAAGTTGTTTTACATTTAAATGGCAAATACTGGCCAAAATTAGTTCAAGACCGGTTTAACAAGTTTTGCGCATCAAAAAATATCAACTCATTATCGATAGCACCTCATCATATAATTCTTCGTTCTGTTTTAGGTCGCCGTCTTCCGCTGCTCCTATGTAAGAAAAACCATTTGCAAGGTAAGTTCACTTTTTTTTCTGTTAATATTTTAACTTAAAGTGATATTTCTATTCAGCATCTCATCTATGCGACACAATTGGCTGCTTATCAGAAGACCATCTCTGTATCGAAAAACAAGAAGTCAACCATAGTCAAACCCAATGTGCAGGTATCATGTTACATATTTACGGAAATATTGCTGCCGAATTTTGTATATTTCAGGCTGATCCATACCACCGCGGTTTACAACATCCGGACGCATATAGTGACTTCTTCAAATACAGCTGCAGGAAGATTCGAGCTGTCTATCTCAACAAGAACGATTTACCTTAGTTTTTTGTTTTGTATTTCTTTCTTTTTCAATAAACTACTTTCAATCTCTCTTTCACTAACTTAAACTCAATCAACTCCTTTTATCAGCAGTGTCCAAATTCCGCGAATTCTGAAATCGTGACCAATTCTGACTCCAAAAAAATCACCAACTATACTGGCAACCGACTCAAAAGGATCCACAGAATTCTTCGATTTCACAGAATCCAAGGAATATATAGAATATTCTGATATGTGTATTACATATGTGTCATAAATCTCTTTTCTTTCCTTTCACGTATACTACATCTTGCAACAGCATATATCTAACGCCTTCTAATCTTTCTATTTCTAATTATGTACGGTGTTAATCCGCCCTCATCTTCTTTTATGCCCTTCAAATTTTCTCTCACTCTCTATCATCTTTTCAATGAAATTTGACTCTCTATTTTTATGTCAAAGTAATTACTATGTACTGACATACTTTTTTCTAGACATTGATTATACTCAGCTAGCAAAATACGAAAAAATGATAGATTCATTCTTCTATGTAAATGCATTAAGGCGCTTTTATTAGATAAATGCACTTAACGAAACTTACATATTTAGACATCAATCGTAGCACATAATACATCATGTCATCAAATAAAATTCAATTATAAATGTGTGCTCATTTAAACAGTAAATTGATTTAATGAATATTTATCTTTTCGATTCAGTAAATTTGGTCGTTAATGATTCAATCGAATATAGACAAGATTGAAAATTTTTGTTAAACTAGATTTAATTTGAACTTAAATAAAATTGACAATTCAAGTCATTCATTACTCAATAACTTTTCATCAAATCCGAGACAATTAATTTATGACAAATGTTTGTCATACAAAATTTAGATCCAATATAAGGTATCAGATAATTTCCTCACATTTATTTTTACATTTAATTGTACTGCATGTTATGAATTATGCATCTCGGAACTTAATTGATACTGAGATTCGGTAGACATCATCAAGAAGAAAAAAACAAACAACTGTTGGAGAGTGAAAATTTTTATTATTGTTTTAAATCAAAATATATTTTATTTCATAAGGACTAAAAAAATGATGATATCGAGTTTTTAGAAGGTTCATCTTGTGTCTTCATGTGAGTGTATCAACATTCTTACAATTAAAATTCGTATTGGTTAACTATAATATCTATTTTAGATGTTGTCAAATAATGATGTTGTTTTTTCTTAATTTTTATAATTGATAGTTGATATGTTCGTAATATGGTATATCACAATTATATTTTCTTTTTTAAGAAGTTTTTAAAAATATTTGTTTTGAATTATTAAACAAATTTCATAAGAATAAAGTATGTAATACTAATCAATTAGATCAACATGCTATCTTTCGTTGTATTAGTCGTATTAAATTTATAGAGGCTTTTCGAATGACACTCCCACCCGCTAATACATAAATATAAAATGGCATTGCACTTGCCATGAAAGCTAGAAGTATATCAATGTTATAAAGAAATATTTTGATAGCATCTTCTAATTTAGAACCAGAACCAAATGGTTTAAATGTCATGTAAAGTTTTTGGACAGCTTGTGGAATACATAATACTATTAATGAAAATATTTGTAATAAAAGCATACGAAGTAAATGATTGTCAGTTTTCTTTGAATTTTGATTTACATGTCTACTATGATCAATAGTTCTTACAGTATTGTCTACATATGCTACGCGAGTATGAATACGATGTACATGTGAAATGGTTAATAGACCAAATATAATCATTAATATCAATGGAATTATTATAGAGAATAATACATAAGTTAGATCCGTCATAAGAAGACATCCGGCTGTATTTTCATAACATTTCAATGGTGCATCAATATTATTAGCTCCATAACAGGGAAACATATGAATATAAGAGAGAATCGATAGAATTATAGTGATAAATATTTCTCGTTTAACATTTTTTAAATTACTCATTTGTCGACGATGAATATTAATAGATGATATTAACCATCGATCAATTGTAGCTAATGTAATTAACCATATGGACATTGTTCTTGTACTAAATACAATAAAAACACGAGTTTTACATATCCAATTAATCGTTGTAGTTGGATCAGCGTGCCAACCAGCCAATATTCGAGTAGGTAAACCAAGTAGAATTGAAATAAGACCAATAAATGATGAAGCAAGAAAAAGTAATGCACATGGATTTGATCGAAGTGTTCGTTGTGATAAAACTAAACAATTCATAATATTTCCCATTATACCAAAAAGAAATATACTAGGTGCTAAATATCGATTGAATTGATCAGAGATATATTCTAATGTTTCAATAGGTTTATTACTCATTGTAAAAGTTCTTATTTAAGATCAAATATAAAATCAAAGTTGATATTAAAAAAAATCTCAATTGAATAGAAATCTAAAATATTTTCATGCAAGAAAAAAAAGAAGATTAATGACAAGAAAAATATTACAATCTAAAATGATTATATGAATGACTTTCTAAAAATTATATATAGTTCTTTATTCAGCTCTAGAAGAAAGTCATCAGCATTTTTCTCAAGTTGAGATGTATCGAAATCATACTGAGAAATATCATACATAAAAAAATAAAATATTTCTATCTAAACAGTGAACATTCAGTGATAATAACCTTCATAATATGAGGATCATATATTTACGTTAAAAAAATGAGAAAAGAATTAGAAACTAAATATTATGATATATAAATATAACTATGAAATTCATTATGATTTATGAATTGGTTTTACGCTTCAAAAAACACAAGGAGCTTATTGATATAAAAAGGTTTATGTCACTTAATGGAGACATTACAATAGCTTTTGATTTTTTTCAGTCTTTATACATATAAACTATGAACTATCTATTAGTTTTTATTATGTTCGTTGAAGAGAAAATTTATGTCGAGAGCAAACTTAATTCAAATTAAAGAAAAGCTTTTAATGCATTCATATATTTTAGATGAAGAACCAAGACTATTGAAATCTTACATATCGATTAGAATTTTATATTATGGTGTAAAATTTGAATCCTAAAAATAAAAGAAGTTCAGAATATGTTCATAATCTATTTCTAGAACTTTATGCCCTTTATTGAAGATAGATTCTAATCTCGAACTTAAATCAATGTAATAACAAAAGAAGAAAATATTTTAAAGCTTTGAATGTAATAAAAAAAAAGAATTATTTTTGTTCTACTTTTGAATAAAAATCTGTCATATGTTTATTTTCATATTGAATAATCTATTAAAAGGAAGATATTAATATTTACATATAGGATATAGTCAGTCAAAAAGGAGACATACCAAAAAAGTTATATGTTTATAAGAAAGTATTTTATTCTACAGGGACAAAAAAAAAAATAACATCTTCATCAATTTTTAGAGCGAACAGTGTGTAGGTCAACATTGATGTGAACTACATTTTATATTACAATAGTGTTACTAAAAAAAAAATTCATAATAGAGAAAATAGAGAACAACTCTCGGATTTTTATGCTATCCCATTAAAATATAAATTTATTCTTCCATGTCAATGCATAAAGATCTTTCGAATTGCGTATGTCATCATGTATTTAGACATATTAATCAATTTATACCGTGTATTGAATCATCTCCAGGCTCCTAATACCTTTTTTCTTGTTTGATTTGATTAGATTTACAATAATTCATAGTAATTCAAACTAATCTTAATATCCATTTACAAGATTTATTACGAATAATTTCCAATATGTATTTTATTTTGAAAAATTTCATAATATAAAGAAAAACTTCGACTTGATCTAATCACAAAGACTAAGACCATTAACGATAGTAATAAGTTCAAAGTACTCAAAAAAGTAACCCGATTGAATGTTATTTTTGGTGTATGGATATTCGAAAGTTTCTGATCGGATATCTAGTCAATGATCTGTTTCGAAAGTATGTTCACTGATTCGTTATCCAGGCAAACGCGAACGCTTAAAAAACGAGTGTAATTACTCGCAAAATGCTACATTTACATGCACGATATGTTTTTAAGCGACATGCGTGTGAACAATTTGCATGTTGGTATAGAATCGCTTTGGTATCCAGCATTTAACAAAATTCTAATCATCCTGCAAATACACAGAAATAACACTTTGGCATTTACATCCGAGTCATACATCTTACATGAACACGCAAGAATATTGCATGTAGTTATCAAATGCATGCCTATGTCTGTGCTACTGTTTTTGTATTTATGCATAGTGATTGCTGATATTTCCGGTAACTTGCATGAGATGTACTGACTGAAAAAATATCTTGCAAGTTAATACGAGCTTCTGAAAATTTTCTGCAAATGCACACATTTGTTTTTCAAAGTCTCATGTTTAACTGAGTAATTGAGCAGTCAGAATTATTTCATTTTCAAATATTCAAGTTTCAATCGAATACCAAACAGTGTTCAAATTATTAAAGATTATATGTGATATGCTGGTAACAGAATGTTCGTTCGATTACGCTTGATTCAGTCTTTTCAATAGAACTATTTTCATTCGATAAAATGATAGAAACATATTAATGTAATTAGTATGTTCAAATGAATAAATTTTTTCTTTATATATGTTTACTTTATTTCAACTGATCCTATACATATGAAATTTTTATCGCATATATATCCCAACATGCTCTACGCAATCACAACGACACTATTTCATAAAATTGATTTTTCTAGTATTTTACTTTGCTCATATAGGCAGTTTTTAGAAAAATTATTTTCTAGACCTTAGACTTATAGGTTTTGCTTAAAATTTTGTGTTTTTCAAAAGAATACTTAACATTTTTAATCAAATGATACAAGAAAAAGTTTTAGGTCTGTAAAGAAAACATCGGAAAAATTGTATCAAATTTTATCAAGCCTTTGTTTATTTTTCTGCATTTTCGTATTGAAAAAAATATTATTGTGTTAACAATTCGGATTTCTTTTTGTAACAATAAGAAAAATCCTGTTTGTTCAGGAACAGCTGTGAAATTGTGAATTGATGAGAAGAAAGGGATTCGAATTTACATGGTGAGAAGAAGCTTGGCACAGTGAAAGATAAAATCACTCTCGTGATCCTCAATATATTTCGGAGTTCTATATTGGAATCACATAAGGATTTGTTTCATGACATTTCTTAATCAATTTTTCTACATCTATAGTCTCTCGAAGGCTATGTAAGACATTCTATTATTCTCAAAAGTAACTCCGTCCTGAAAAGGTTAATGAATGTAAAATTTGTATCATCCTTCTCTTACAGATCATGACATTCATCTATAGAAATACTGTAGCTTTTCTACTTCTCTCAAGTCATATTGGACTTAATCATGAAAGTAACATCCACTCGAAGATTATTGTGAAACACAATTAATTTCTTCAGCAAGATAATTACTTTCCTGAAATCGGTAAGTCGCCTATTAAAATCAAGCTAAGAATAATCCTAATAATAAAAAATAATGAAAAAGATACCAGACAGGGACATAGTTTAAAAGTAATTTATGTGATATTTTGATGTAATGTTTGATCAGTAATAATAAAAAAAAAAATCTTCATGACTTATTTTAACAAGCATGTCAATTATTTGATCTTACAGTGAAATGATTAATATTATAGTCCTTTCATTTTACTTAGTCAATATCAAAGATAAGTACGGAACTATCTGATCCCAACTCTAGAATCTGATATAATTTATGACAAGAGAAAGTAAACGGGGACATTCAATTATAATATTTTGCAAAGAAAAATGCTTTCCATTTAAAACAAGACACTCGCGACTTCTATGTGAGTTTTGTAGTCTGAGAAAACAGACAGACAATTTGAGATCAGAACCATTCTCAATAGCATTGTAATCATGCTGTAACTTGTGTACCAATAATCATAGTCTTCAAAACAGTCTTATTGTATAGAGGAAATATGTCTTCACTATGTGTTTCCTTAGGAATATTCAATTCTACAACCGGAATCAGAACATCCGTTTTTACATCTCTAATCAGTATTATTATGTTGAAATTTACATTTATCATATATAATACTTAATTATAAATGTTTAAAGAACCATATGAATTATTGTTGATACTTTCATTCATCGTCTAATTACAGAACTCGTATAACTGCTAGTTTTTTTTTTTTATTATAAAATTTTTCAAGAAACTTCTTATTAAAGACTTTACTATATCCATAAATGCTTTTCAAAAACAAATACTTTCATTAAGTAGTGAATGTATAAATATAAAATGCCATCATCATAGCCATAGAAGCTAGAAGTAATTACTTCAATATTATAAAGAAAACCTGTGACAATATCTATTTTCGTTTATACTTAATTTTCAAATTTATCGAAGAAGATATGTTTATCACTTTTCTTCAGCTTTTTCTAATAAGAAAGTACAAGTTACTATAAAAATAAAATGTTATAACACACTTTAATATATTCCAAGATAAAATTTATCTTAGAAAAATTTCTTATTAGAGTTTTTCATATTTTGAAAGTTTTTATAGAAATCAAAATTTGAAATACTATTTTAAAAAGTTGGTAGAATTATTTTAAATGAAAATAAATTTGATAGAGTACAATCGAACCTAAGTGTAAATAGAAATTATTTTATTTACGATTATAGTATTTATTATAAAGAAGGATGACACGAATACTTTTCGAAAGCAATATCTATAGTCCAAACAGTTAAGAGTACGTCTTAAAATTTGATTTTTCTTTGAAAATTTTTTAAATTTCATGATGATGTGTTCTCTTGTTTTTCATACACTATAGACAGATATGAATGAGTCATATATTTACCATTATAATACTCTACTAATCCTCTATCCATACTGTATATCTTAGGTTTTTACCATTTTGTATATTTGTATATATAATTTCAAGTATAGTCATTTTCACACACTATTACAAATTTGATTTTCATTTGTACATTCAATATTTGTTTAATATATTTATTATATGATATGTATACACGACACCATGTACTAACATAGTTCGGGATAATTTTTTATATTATGCTTCCTTTCTTGTATTATGACATATAGAGTTCACTTTTTGGTATAGAATATGTTAGTACATAGTGTCGTGTATACATATCATATAATAAATATATTAAAAAAATATTGAATGTACAAATGAAAATTACTACAGTTGAAATTATATATACACACATACAAACGGTAAAAACCGAAGATATGCAGTATGGATAGAGGATTACTAGAGCATTATAATGGTAAATATATGACTCATTCATATCAATCTATAGTATATAAAATACAAGAGAATCCATCATCATGAAATTTTTAAAAAAATCAAATTTTAAGACGTACTTTTAATTGTTCGGACTACAGTAACATCCTTACTTAATGTATTGAGTTCAAGATGTTCGTGTATTAGGTAAGTTGTCAATAGAGTTTTTTTTTTGGGTACTCTACTGAGGATTATCTCAGTACATAGGTAGCTATCAAGTATCAGTTTTAGTATTTGCCCAATTTCTATAGTATTCTATTTTTAACAAATTAGTAGATTGAATATTTAGAAGTATTTTTTAAAGTTAAATATTAAAAATCCATAAAGTATTCTAATCTTTCCAGGACATACTAGTAACAGGATATTATCTTTCTCATCTAGGTAACCACCAATAGTAAATCATCGGCATTTCATTCTTTCTTTTCTTCCCTCTCTGAACGGAGAATGAAACGATGAAGAAAAGACACAAGAACGACACACTGGAATAGAATAAACAGAAAAAGAAGAATTGTCGCAGATACTATTGTGAAGATTCTGAATTCAGTATATTTACTAGAGATCGTGCAGAATTAAAAGAAAAATTTTTTCTTTAGTGACTGTAATAGACGGATTTAGCTAATGAGATTCTTACATTAGTAAAATAAAAAATTCTTGAATACATGCTTTTTACAATAAATATCTTCTTCAGGAGCGTTAATATTTAGCGCGTTCAGTCATCATAAATGCAGCTCATTAAGAGCAACCGATTATATATCGTCAAATAATATTTAACTATCTAGAACGATGACTTTGGCTCACGATTTCAACGATTTTCTACCCAGGTAAAAAAAACCGGATGTAACATTTCGTCAAATTAGATTAAATCGTGCTATAAGATTCTTGAAAGGTCTTATGAATAGTATATCTATATTGTAATTACACATGCAATGACATTTCTATGCTGAATATTAGTAGTTAAATTCCTTGAAATAAACATTTAAATATGTAGAATATAAGAGTTACTTATAGATTAGATGAGCGTTATAATAAATTTTTTTCTTCTTTAGAATTAATTTTTAATTTTTATCTATTAATACTACTATTATATTGCGCCACCTTTCTTATCTTTAGCAATTGCGTACAACGAACGGTCCAATGTTGTTTTTTCTCTACATGCTTTGAATGTGATTATCGTAAATACATTGTATGATGATTATTTTTGGAATTAGACTATAAATAAAGTATATATTTAGAATCAACATAATTTGAATAATATTTCTATGAAATATTATGCTAGGGATTTTTAGAAAAATTAAAAGATGACGCTCTGTGCTAATTATCAATGACAGAGGCAGAATGTTATACCAACAAAATGCACGAAAATTTGTTTACTTCAAGATATATCAATGTTACATATATTTGTGAGTGTATTTAAGCAGCTTGTATCAATCATATCGATTGTTTTAGCTTAGTTTTTGAGTTTGGTTATTTATGATAAAGATGACACAAGTTAATAACACTTACAAAATAGAGAAAAACAAAAAATTGATCAAAATGGAAATATGACATAACGATATTATAAGCTGTATCTAATTTTTCAGTAAAGTTATCTTTTTCATTGGTCCAGTTATAAAATGGTCTGAACTAATGCATCAATAGATGATTCATTGATGAATAATCCAAATCAACTAGTAGATCACATGTTGAGTAATACCAGGAGTAAGCGTACACAAAACAAACATAACATACATGACATTCGCTACTTTTGGAATACAAATATTTTACATGTTACTCAGAAGAAAATAAAGTGTATTATGTACATATTAATGAAGATATAGATTGTAAATCTTTAACAAAAATTGTATATATAGTATTAAACATACAATCACATTTAGATTGAAGTAAATTATGACCTTGTGTACCTGATTCAATCATAGGTAGAATGTAGCTTTTTCTCTTTTGTCTCAGTCTTTATTTGCATACATAGTTTTGTTTTTTAGGATTGTGAAAAATTTGACACGTGCATACTTTGTTTGTGAAAAGATAATGTAAACATACATTTTCATCATGTAAGCAAAGCGTAACAAAAAAAAATATATATCTAGTTGTAGTTTACCATTTGAAGCATTGACTATACTCCGTAAAAACAAAATGTAACCTACATAAGGTACTTATAATTTTAACTAGAACACCTTTGTTTTTTGCACTTAACTTCTAATAAATGACCTTGAAAAAAAAGGAAAAGTTCACACGTAGGTATTCATTGGTAAATAGACGCACAAACTATCAAATGAAACTTTACTGACAATTTTTATAAATAGCATTACTAAAATCAAGTACTATATATATTTCATTTGATATATTTAATTAACAATAAATAATGCTATCCTTTCCAAAAAAAATCTTATAGCTTGAAGTAGGAAATAAATTTAAGTAGTATTTTTTGTTTTTTTGTTTTTTTGTTATTTGAATATTTTTAATATTTTAGATTATGTTAATTTTATAAAATGAATTGTGATAACCAATTATCATTTACATCTTCTCTAAATACAAAGAAAAATCTCAAATCATATTCTTTATGTAAAGTTTGTGGCATTGATAATGCACAATTACATTATGGTACATTATGTTGTGTTTCATGTAAAATGTTCTTTCGACGAAATGCTCAAATTAATCTAGTTGGTTAATATATTGATTTTTATTTTGATTCATTTGAAAAATAATTTTTTTTTCTCTTTTAAAAAAAAATTTTCTAGAATGATAGAAAATGTATTTTTCATGGTAAATGTGATATAACAATAAAAAGTCGAAAAACATGTCGATATTGTCGTTTAAAAAAATGTTTTTTAGTTGGAATGCAAAAAGAATTATTACGTGCTTCACATAATCGACAAGGTACACGTTGTAAACAATATTTAAATAATAAAATAACTTCTTCAGCTAGTTGTATTTATCCAATTGATTTACTTAAAAATGATCGATCATTATTAACAACTGAACAGTGGTCTTATTTATCAAATTTAATTAATTTATTTAATATAAAATTTCCTGTTTCTGATATTCATCATTTATTAGAAGATCAATCAAAATATCCAATGAAAATGCGTTTAAAAATGGCAACAACAAATATGTTACTTATTATTAGTACAATGTATCAAGGTGTTTTACCATTTATTAAAAATTTATCTCATTTTCAAACTTTATCATTAAATGATCAATCTGCATTACTTGAAAGAAATACAAGAAATATTGGTGGTTATAGTGGTATTGTTATAAGTCGTGATGTAGATATTCATTCTAGTCCAATATTTAAAACTGGTTTTCCATTAATTTATGGATCAAAAATAATGGATAATGCAATTAAAATTTATAAAAATGCAGATAATGATGGTACATTAATTAAATTATTAATGCCTGTTTTAGTATTTTCAACAGCTTGTGATATTATTGTAATGGATGAAAATAACAATAGTAAGTAAAAAGAAAAATAATCATTAACTTGAATTTTTCAATTTAATTAATGGTGCTTTATTTTTTTTTCTTGTGCTTCTCGCTATGTCTATTATAAAAGCAGTAAGTTACAGACAAAAGTCTTTTCTCTTATATCTACCAAGTGATTTTCTTGAATTAGTCTGTTTTCACCGAATGAATTCATAACTAAAAAACAAGTCTGGATCAAATATGCTCGACTCTATACATACAAAATTTTATTATAATTAATTAATTGATTAACAAATTAATTGGTTACTATCTCAGTTAGTAACCAACTTAGGATGTAGATGTGAGCATGGGTCTAATTCTTCTCTTTCGTCACGCCTAAACCCTTGACTAAACAACAAATTTAATCGACTTGATAATCAATTAATTAATTATAATAAAATGTTATACATAGAGTCGATCATATTTGATCGAGACTCGTTTTGAGTTATGAATGCATTCGGTAAAAATCGAAATTATCTGTATATTATACTTATTTCGACTAATCAATGACATAGATACAATTTATTCTAATGGTTGCTATTGAATTTGTTGTTTACATACATGATTATAGAGAGATTTTTCGAGGTCATCAATAAGCAAAAAGATACAATAGAACAGTGGAGAAAAACGAAAAACGATTGGGGGGAGTCACCCCATATTGGGTACATTTCTGAAGCTCAAGGTCTCGTAAAGGTAAAAGAAACATCTTGTTTTTTTTCTGTACGGAACTAGAACCGTAGGATCAACTCGATCGTTTCCAGAATCCGAATAACAAACACTAAACTGGAGTTTGAATTAAAATATATACGCGACTTTTTTATTATTATTATTATTTCTATAAATAGATAAAAAATAAACTAACATGAGATTATATTATTAATCATTCTATTTTTCTGAAATTTTCATAATGATAATATATATTTAGAAGTTAATGTTTCAACAGATGAATATCGTTTACTTTCAAATGAAAAAAAAATATTAGATATTCAAAATTTTTATACTGAAATATTATTTAAATATATGATTTATCGTTATGGTTATCAACAAGCATCATTAAGATTTGCTGCACTTATCAAAACATCGCTTGATCAAAGTATGTGTTCATTAAATGGACGAGAAGTTCAAAAACATAAACAATTAATGCAAACAATAGTGAAAACAACTGAACAGTCATTAATATTACAAGATGACAATTAATATGAATCAAAGAAGAAAAAATATCTTTGATAGATATTTTTAGAACAGTGATTGTCTATTTTTTTTCTGTTGTTGTTGTTGTTGTTGTTGTTGTTTTTATTGTCAGTGAATTTGTTTAAATTATATTTCTATAATCTAAATAATTTTATTAAATGATGAAAAATGTCCTTAATTCAGTATTTAGTCTTATTATGTGATCATATTTAAATGATATATCTCTTTTATTGAAATATATATTTTATTTTGTAGATCGAACTTATTTTTATTAGTTTACGTCAGAGAAACAAATAGATATTTATTTTCAAAATTCAAAATTTAATCAAATAAGAAATGATATTAAGAAGTTTAGCATAAAAATTATTTTATCTATTCGTGGTATAATCTAATTATTTATAATGAATAATTTAAGACGAAGAATACTTTATTGTATATTTTATCTTAGGAAAATTAGATTCGAAATTTTTATATGTCGATGAGTCAAAGCGTTCGAATTTATCTTTCATTTACAAGAAAATCTCTTGATATATTCTCTTCTGACTACAATGCTTTTTTAACCTATAGATACTACATAGTGTTCTAATAGCAACCTTAAAAAGATTTTGAGTTTTGACTAACCTATCGAATGTTTTTCTTTAAGTTTTCGGACGACTTGTATTTTCGAATTTTGATGCATATGGACAACTCAATTAGTTTTAAAGCTATTATGTTGTATACACTATCCATGGAAAAGAGTCTATATCTTGTTCAAAACTTGTGAATTTTTTTATGGAAACTAGTCTAGTTGAGTTCTCAATGTGCGCAAAAGTTTAGACTGAAATTCACAAATCTGAGGACTGTAGAAAATAGATATAATAAAAATTTGCGAAACCATCTCAGGAAGTTTTCTTATTAGTAAAAAGTATTTCATTGTATAATTAAGAAATAGATAGTTCTTCTAGATAATAGTTTTCGTATAGGAGATATATTTTACGTGTAAATTATAATTCTTTTTTTTTTTAATTATTGTACATAGTATTCATGGTGTTTTATGTGTCATCGTTTCGTTTTAATTTAATGAAATGTTCAGTAATGATTTTCAGCTCAAGTCACAATCGATATTGAAAAAAAACAATGTGAAGAAATTGTTGATTTAATTCAAACTAAAGCAGCAAATTATATTCTTTTTGAACTGAATGTATAAAAACCAAGGTTTTTTTTCTCGTTATCTATGATCAATATTTTATTTAAATATTAGCAAAATCTATGAAATAATGAAGTAATAATATTTGACTTTCTTGACAATAAAAAAAAGTATCATGTGCTTAAGTTACCATCATTATGAAATACGATCTTAAAGAGGTATTGAAGTAAACGGGTAGAAATTTGCTTCGTTCTTTCCCGACAGATATAACCGTGAGATTAAAGTCCACTGAAGGGTTAGTATGATGGTTGTCTTCTATTTTTGTGCTACGCTTACTGCAATATATATGTTAATTAATATCTTTCATTAATAGTAGGTAGAAGTTCATAAACCAAAACATATTTTTTCTTATATAACTCGACAATCAATATCGGACCATGACAAAAAAGAGAAAAATAAATCCTATTGAAATTTCAAATTTTTGCCACATTAAATACATTGGAAATATCTTAAAATTCAAATATCTTCGTTCGTATACGTTATTTAGGTTTGTTATTTTAGGAATGTGACGTTTAATTTAATCCGAATATGTTCGATGTCCTTGAGTTACAATACACGGCCTTCTATTGTAAATATATTATTGTTAAAATAATACTTCGTCATATGATCGATTGATGTGAATATGAAAAAACAAGGTTACGATTTATCTTTGCCATTAAACGTTCTCTTTATTGAAATATGTGTATAGTATGTTTAGGAGACGTTCAAATATATATATGTATTTCATATTAACTTCCTTTCTTTTATTTGAGAATAAATTCGATCAGTTGTCATAAATAGTAAAAAATATCAGTATTCATTGATTTATGAACTATAGATCACAACGTCTTTACTGGAATTGATAATAGTTTCCTGATAGTAGGTTTTCGTCTGCAAATTTTATTGAATCTTTCTTTGAGATAGAGATGATTTATACAAGTTTTTTTAAAACTATCATGAATCCTATCATGTGTTGAAATGCCAAATCTTTAACATTATGAATAATATTTTCTGACAATTGTATTTTAAATATTATTGAATCAGACCATCACATATACTCTTTGTCAGTTTTTAGAATTGAATAGTGGAAATCTCTTTATATGGGATATAAAATTTATTATTGATGTTAAGCCTATCCTATGAAAAAAGAAAATATGTTTTTGTGACCTTACAGCTGTATTGATATAATCACCAGTCATTTTCAATTAAGAGTAGAAATATTTTTATAATTTCCGCTCTTATACCTCAGCTATTTCATAATCCACACTCGGTTAACCTCACATACTAACATATTTTCCATAGGCAGTCTTCAATTCGAGGGATAAAAAATTTCATTTACTTCAATTTATTGTCTGATCATATAACATAAATATATTTACAGGAATTTTTTAATACAATCTAAAAGTTATTGTCTTTGAGTAACTTTTCGTATTAAATTCATAAATTCATTTCGAAAAATACTGCCACTAGCTAATGTATTTGTATAAAATGTCATACTACTTGCAATAAAAGCCAAAAGTAGTTCAATATTATATACAAATGCTTTTATAACATCTTCTAATTCAGTTCCAGAACCAAATGGTTTAAATGTAATATGAAATTTTTGAATTGCTTGTGGAATACATAATATAGTTAACAAAAGTACTTGTATGACAAGCATACGAAGTAAATGACGATCAACTTTTTTAAAGTGTGATTGTTTTGATGTCAAAGGAATATTTCCCGGTCTAATAGCTTGATTTTGTATGCGATTATGAACATGATGTACATGTGAAATAGTTAATAGACCAAATATAATCATTAAAATCAATGGAATTATTATAGTTATAAATGAATATGTCAAATCATTGATAAGACGACATACATTATTTTTTCCATAGCACTTCAATGGTGCATCAGTAATATTAGCTTCATAACAATAAAGCATATAAGTATATGTAAGAATCGATAGAATTACAACGATAAATATTACTCGTTTAACATTTTTTAAATTACTCATTTGTCGACGATGAATATCAATAGATGATATTAACCATCGATCAATTGTAGCTAATGTAATTAACCATATGGACATTGTTCTCGTACTAAATACAATAAAAACACGAGTTTTACATATCCAATTAATTGTTGTAGTTGGATCAACGTGCCAACCAGCTAATATTCGAGTTGGTAAACCAATTAAAATTGAAATAAGATCAATAAATGATGAAGCAAGAAAAAGTAATGCACATGGATTTGATCGAAGTGTTCGTTGTGATAAAACTAAACAATTCAAAATATTTCCGATGACACCAACAATAAAAATCATAAGTGCTAAATATCGATCGAGTTGTTCCGAAATATAATTTAATGATTTGATGAGATTGATATCTGTTGATGATGTCATTGTTAAAAAACGGGTATAATATAAGTATTGGTCGATTGATATGTTTCCCGATTTATTAGATAGTAATTTTAAAATTGATTGTTTTACATTAAAGTTATAAACTTTTTCTCTTTTGATGAAGATCTATACTGTATAGAATTTGAGCAATCTAATAATAAATCGTGACAAGTAGAGAAAAAAAATAGAATAAAATATCATCTGTGTGATTTCGATCACTAAATGATTTACTTAAAAACATATCAGATTTCTTTTTCGGAGAAAATTAAAATCAACGTCATTTAAAAAACAAGCCAGTAGAAGGAATAGTTATAACTGCTGTTAGTCCGTTATTGGTATATGTTAAAAATAGGTAACTTACGTAATCTTCGGCAGCTATTAGAAAAATCTAGCATATCTTGCCATTTAGTGTTCGAAACTTAAGTTGCTTTATTATGTTGTCCAGACATGTTTTAAAAGGTGTTAAGCATGGGGTTTTGTTATGTAAATCAGCGAGTCGTTTCTTTCATTCTCATAAAATGCGTATATGATGAGAAATAGCGTGATTCAATGAGAGCATCGTTTTTATTCATTTAAGGAAGTGCTCATATAGTGTGAAACATGCTCTAATTAATTCTATAGAAAGCTAGAAAGAAAATATTTTGTTCTAGATATAAATTGAATATGTATATTTTCTAACTTTAACTTAAGAAGACTCCCTTATAAAACTCAATTTTTCGAAAAAATATTGAAGTTGAGTTTTTGTTGTAGGAAAATGCACTGAAGCTTCCTCTTTTAGAATATATATGGTTTTTCACAAAACGACTAAAGTTTCACAGACTTATCACAAGAAACTTCGAGTCTACTACCATGTTTTCAGAGAAATTTTAATGATTTTTTAAAGTTTCTCTGTTTCGGAAAAACTGTGTTGTTACTTACATTATTATTGAATAGAACAATTTTATTTTAACCAGCATGTCAGACGGTGTTAGCTATCTTCATTTATTACATGCTTTAAAACAGTTCACTGGAATTTGTTAAATATATGCAATTGTAATATGATTTTTTTTCTGGATTTAAATGAAAAAATCGATTTCTAAAAGTTCTTTAGCGTTTTTCTCAAAACATGATTTCTAGACAGGAAAATTGAAATAACTTTCTCCAGGTTCAAGCTATAACCATTATTTTTTTTGTTTTGAAGCTATAAATAAGGGCAAACTTTTGTCCGATCAGATCTCTTATACTTGATTCCTAGGCTGAGAAAAGTGGAATTTACTATCGTGGAGTCACCTTTTTTATGCTTATTTTAAGATCATATCTGCTAAAATGCTCATAAAAAAATGAATGGAAAGGAATTTCAAAATTCTATTCAGATAAAAGTTGCGCAAAGAGGTTAGCTATAGTTTGAAACCAATTTGAGCTCTGTACCTCTTTTAATAACGAAGTTATAACGATTCTCTGGGAAGTCAAATAAACAAGCTGAAGGTTCGGTCTAGTTTGACATATCGGGCTGAAATTTTTATCATAAGTGTTTTCCACTAGGATCACTCATTCCTGTAAATTTCAGCTCAAACAGTCCGTTTTAAGTGATAGATTGATTCTAAGAGGGAGTCTCCTTAATATCATATGATTTCACTAATCGATATTCTTGAATCTATTCTTTCTAGATTCTTGTTTTTCTTAATTGATCCGTCAAAATTCATTTTAAAATTTAAATTCAGACAAGCTCCTTTTTTTTACCGAGAAAGAGAAAAAAAGATTCTGGTCAGAATTTGAAGAGAAAAATTGTCTTCAAAGTATGAAAACATATCTAAGATTTTTCAAACTTGAGCTATATGAACAACTTGATTCGCGTTCGAGTATAATTCAAGACCTACGTAACTAATTTCATACTATCTTCATGAAAACAATTTTGAAAATGAGAAGAAAAACGGATAAAATTTTAAAGAGCATATTGACAGGGTAAGTTTTAGAACATATAGGATGTGTTTTTTGTTTTTTTGTACTATTTAATTTTTCATTGATTATACGAATCAAGTGCAAATTACAATTATGAACTTTAATCATGTCATGCACAATGAATGCTAATTTTTGTGATAATTATAATTGATATAAAACTTTTGATCTATTTCTTTTTTTGATATTTTTTCGGGGTTAAGTCTCCAAATATATTATAACTATAGTGGCGATAAAAATTGATCTTTTTCGTTTACTTATTATGATTCTCTTGTCGTTTCAAAAATTTTATTTACATTCAAACTCGAATTAAGCAGCTTGTTATTTAGTTCAGAGGAAGTTCATTTTCTCTTTGTACTTTTACACGACGATAGTTAATAGTTATTTAATTTAATTTTATGAATAAAAAATGTCCTATTCAAATGATGTGTATGACCTGCATGTTATTATTTATTACATGTGCACATCTTGAAGAGAAACTATTGTTGTTAACCCATTAGGTAGTCGAATTCTAATTGAATTTAGAAAGTTTTCAAAAACAATATTATCAAAATAGAGAATATTGACGATGAATGAGTCCTTATAGATTTCAGGTAATCAATATGAAGAAGACAAATTATAATAAAAAGTGTGTACTTCTAATTCTGTTGCTTATCTTTTTTCTTGCATGAATGTGTTAGATTTATAACGCAACTAATGAAGTTGTTTCTTCTTTTATCTTTGTAAATGTTTCCCATTCCATCTTTTTATCATTTAACTGGTGTTGCATGAAATCGCATCTATTTTTTTCTTTTTTTTTTGCATTTTGTAAAAAACGTGAAGGAAAAATAGAACATTAATGCAAAGACATACTTTTATAATTACATTGCAGGAGTTACAACAGAATTTGCAAAAAAAAATGAAAAACATGAAAATTTTATCAAGACAGACAATTCTTGTATCATCAATACACGTTCAGTTTACATGGATTTTACTAGAAAATCAAGACATATTTGTTTAGACAAAAATCTTATGCTGAAGTGAATTTTAAAAAAAATTAATTGATTGTCAAGAAAAACAGAAATCTAGCGTGCATAACAATAAGATTGTTGCTTAATATATGTAAATGTCTACATTCATATCTCTAGCACGATTATTAAGCTCAAAGATAACTACGCTACAAAATTCATTGTGTTATACGCTTGTTTGCCAAGCAAAAATGCTTATTATTATATGTCTTAATCGGTCTGTGTACTACTAATTACTTTGTTTAAGTGTGAAGAATGTATTTATTTTTCTTAACTTATCAACAATGCATCCTAAAGAAATTGTACAAACTTTTTGATCTAGAATCTGGTATTTCTTGAGTTTATTATAACAAAAAAAAAATCTTATGTCACTTCTGTTAAAAACCTTGCAAAAAAGAACATTGTTTTTTCACAACCGAATTGAAGTTTATCTATGAAAAACCTATCGGATAGAATTCTTTCTTTTGTGACACTTATCTTCATTATCAATGTATGTTTAATTTTAGCTGCATTTATATTTATCTCTTTAGAATTAAGATTAGAAAAATCTATTTTGTCAAGACAATATGATGTGATTATATATCACCACTAAGCAATTTGACTTATTATCTGAGAATAATATTTATTAATGATGAAAGAAGTTCATAAAAAAATGCAGTCAAAGCCGTGTTGTTTGAGACGTTTTGTATCTTCTTTCTGAATAAAACTCAAATTGAAAAACTGTTGAGCACGTTTCCGTATTGCCTGTGTTGAATACGATCTACATCCTTCAAAGAGCAATGTTTTGAGAAAAACGTTCTCTTAAGGATGCATGTTTAAATGAAATAGTCAACCAAAAATGTTATTATGCCTCAACAGCTTCTATCAAGCCTTATCGTTTTGTAAAATTTAGAAAAATCTCACTACTTAATTGTTTGATCAAAGAATTTTTAAGTGAATTTTTTAGTAGATGGAAAATGAATTATTCGAACAACTTTTCTATATTTTGTATGATCAATATTTTTATTATCTTTTCATGAGACATGAAAACAGAATCGTCCATTCAGATCTTCAGTTGAAATGATTTTAGCATTCTAGAAAAATTTAAATATAATTAGGTTTTCCATAGAAGTAGTTTCTCTACAAAAGTATATCTTAGAACTTTTTAGTTATGTTTGGTCTACTATCAATCTATGTCTTGAGCATATTAGTTTCGCTTCATTTTATATAAATCTATCTGACAATAAAGACAAAATTCTTCGTTATAATTCCAGATTTGAGTATTAGTCGTGTACGCTGAAGTACAGAATTTCCATGTTGTCTTCCTCGTGTTATTAACACTACATACATTGTTTTTTTAGTTCAATAAAATGATCTACTCTTAGTGGATTATTAATCGACCAGAAACCAATTGAAATAAAAAAAAAAAAATTAAAATTTCATTGATTATTCTAATTAGTTTTGATGGTGATCAAAAAAAAACAAACATTGCTTTTAAACAATTTTGCTTGACGATAAAATAGTTGAATCTTTAACCAATTTTCTTTGATTTGCATCAATTACAATCGAATTCTTGTAATCAATATTAAATTGATTATTAATCTGAGTTTTTAGAAATTGATAGTCTATTGAAGATTCATCAAGCTTTTCTCATGAATGACTTCATTATGCCTATAATTCTTAGATAACTGTATGCATCGAAATCGCTTCTATGTCATATCGAATGTATTTGAAAATATTTCTTGTTAACAAACATGCCATCAAATGAAAATCACATTTCTTTTTTTATTATACTTTTAATAAATAAAAACAAACGTTTCCTGTAATTTCATAAAGATTATCAATTGAAATTCAATAATATTGATGTTTCAATTCATATCTTTCAAATATCTATGCATTGAGCTGCAATTACAATAATGATACATAAATCTATCAAAAATAATCACCAGTCATACTATTAAAGTCTTTGATACTAACAAGGAAATCGTTCGAAGTGATTCATTACTTTTAACTCTATATTTTATCCTTAAGTAGGAGATCTGTAGACTAGAAACAGCCTAAGAGGATATGGGTTCCTATTGTGATTTGATTGAGATATAAAAGTTTTACGGAAATATTCCTGTAGTAGCTAGTATGAAAAACTTCAGAAGCTTTGGACGTAGTATCGCCAAGATATGAATTACCAAAGGACTCATGTTTTGTGCAGTATCTATGGAGAAGCACCTATATTTTGAAATATTCATATCTCAGCAATACTACTTCCAAAACTTTTGAAATTTTTCATACAAGCTACTACAGAAATATTTTCGTAAAACATCCATATTTCTGTCAAATCGTCACATGAACTCACATTCTCTTAGACTTTTCCTAGTCTGCAGGCTTTCTAATGATGAGCAAAATATGAAGTCAAAAGTGGTGAGTCACTTTGAATGGTTCCTTTGTTGTAAGTCTTCAATACTTTGTAATAAAATTTTTTATTTATTTTCGTTTTATTATTTTATGATATCAAGTTATATTTTTATACATTTAATAAAATTAAAATGTTATTCTTTGATTAACTATTCGTACGAAGTCCATAAATGCTTTTCGAAAAATAGTACCTCCAATTAATGTATGAATATAGAATGGTATACCATTTTGTATAAAAGCTAAAAGTAGTACGATATTATAAATAAAAATTTTTATAACATTTTCTAATTTAGATCCCGAACTGAAAGGATGAAATATAATATAAAGTTTTTCAATAGCTTGTGGAATACAACATAAAATTAAAATAAATATTTGTACTAAAAGCATACGAAGTAAACAATGATCAATTCTTGATTTTAATTGTTTATGTCCATGACGTTGAAATTTATTCAAAAGTTTTATCATATGTGGTACACGAGTACGAACACGATGTGCATTTGAAACAGTCATTAGACCAAAAATAATTATTAAAATCAATGGAATAATGATACTTATAAAGATATAAATTAAATCAGTGACCAAACGACATTTAATTGTTTTTGAATAACATGGCAATGGTCCATCAAGGACATTAGCTTCATAACAATAAAACATGTGAATGTGAGAAATAATTGATAGAATAAAGCAAATAATCATGCCTTGCTTGACATTTTTCAAAGTACTCATTCGTCGATAATACATATTAATAGATGATAATAACCATCGATCAATTGTAGCTAATGTAATTAACCATATGGACATTGTTCTTGTACTAAATACAATAAAAACACGAAGTTTACAAATCCAATTGATTGTTGCTGTTGGATCAAGATACCAACTAGCTAAAATTCGAGTAGGCAAACCAATTAGAATGGAAATAAGACTAACAAAAGATGAAAGAAGAAAAAGTGCTACACATGGATTAGAACGAAGTCTTCTTTGATATAAAACGAGACAATTAAGAATATTTCCCACAGTACCAAAAATAAAAATAAAAGATGATAAATATCGATTAAGTTGTTCTGAAATATTAGTTAACAATTCAATAAGATTAGTATCTGTTGTAGATGATGCCATGATTGAATAAAATTAATTTTGATTCTATACACTGCTTATAAGCTTATAAAATATAAGTATGAGCTCTGCAATTTACATCAAATTGACGTTTTTTTTTCTTCGTCTTTAATTAAGATGTATTACGTTCTAGAATTTTCACGGTCTAAAATATATTTGAAATGATTAATGAGAAACGAAGTATTAAAAAAAAAGACTATCAAAAGTGTATTGCGTATTTCATTATAAAGAATTGCTTATTTTTCTTAGAAATATTTCATTTTTATATTGACTAGAAAAATGAGTATAAATTTTCATTACTTTACGAATCTTATTAATTTCAAATGATTTCATTGAAATAATTTTAAGCGAATATATTCAAAGAAACGTTATTCTTCATCAAAGTTTTTCTTCTTAATCATAAATTTTCATAAAAAACTCTTTCTTTCGAATAAATCTCCTAGATTATTTAAAACTATCTAGTAAAAATTATTTCTTGATCCGTAGATTATTTCTCTGACTGTCGTGCAAGGTTTATTCAGGAAGATCATATCTAGTAAAATAAAAAATCGACTTTTATTGATTGATATATTTCAATACATACTCTCCTTTTAATAACAAATATAACTTTAAAAAAAATTGTAGCTGCATAGCGATAGATAAACCTGAATCTGTATACTTTCTAATTTTGGGTTTTTCATCTCTAAGAAAAAATAAAACAACTCAGAGATAATAATGAGTTTTTGATTTGCTGATGGAATGTTCTCATAGTTTGAGCATATTTATCTTATTGTAGGAAAGAATATCTTTTTCGTGTAACACAAAATTCCAATAATAAACCAAAAATTGATGATAAAATCTTTTCGTTTTTGTGATATTTATTTTCACTACCTTAAGATAATCATCACGCAATATTATTCATACATTTTTTTCTTATTATTACAATCCTATTAATGATATATTCTCAAACATACACAACTTATATACGTCATAAAAGAATTGTTTAACTTAATGTCTCAATACTTTGACAATTTCCTCATATGATGCTAAGAACTGACGAAATAGATTTGATTCAGTAACTATTGATGTTTTTCAACTAAGTCTTAAGCTAGAAGAAATTATTCATATAGTGTATCATATGAGAACTAGAAAAAAATCTATTATGAAAAAGTTATGTTTTATTACTCTTTGCTGAGGATATGACGCATGATATTAACTCTTCTAATCCTAGAATTGAGTCGATCAGAATACTTTAGAAAAGCTCACACTACTGTATCTTACTTTTGAACAAAACGTATTACTTGATCATTGTTGAACTCTAACATACTTTAATTCTGTAATTATGTTTAATTTTGACATAATGAATGAGTGAGATGTATCAAAAAAAACCTGACTTTCATTACACTGATATTTACATCAAAGTGTTACTATTTTCATTTTAAATATCTTCTGTTGAACTAAAAAACTCTGTACTTTGCTTCTTCACAGGTCATGAAATAAAAAAAAATGAAAAAAATTGAAATTAATCGATAACGTTCATCACATTTAGATCACTTTTATTCAGTGAATTTGATTATTCTGAGAAAATCAAAATTATTATATTAGTTTCATTACTTGTTTTGAAAAAGTTCTTCCTCTGTTCTTAGTATTAACATACGTATATGAAACGTACCAGGGTAAAATAGAAGTTGTTACCAGTAGAAACTCTAAAAGCCATATGAACATTACATTGTATGTCGTTAAGGCGTTGTAGCAATCAAATTTTTCTCGGCAAAACTAGTCGGTTAGTTAATATGTTAAACTAATCGGTTTTTCATCGGTTGAATGATGTAAATTTTCACTGATAAGTCAAGAATTTAACTGGTGGGTATGGCTCGGTTGAAAAATATTCTATCGATTTGGAGTTCTAGACTTCCAAGCACACTCTCACAATAAAATTTTAGGAAAAATTTTTCATAAGATCAGAACGAAAGTTAATCAGAAACTTTGGCAAATGAAACTTCTTCAGATAATTTGAGAAAAGATAGTTCTCTGATATTGGTTTTTTCTCGGAAAAATTGTTGTATTCTTATTTTTTTTGCGAAAAAATAAACTGATATCTTTAAATCATATTTATTTTATTGACAAACGTCGAGTATAATAATGAAGAAAAAATAAATATTCTGCAAAAGGATAAATAACTTGAAAATTTGTGTTTATGGATTTGATAAACATGTCAATGATCACACAAACTAACAAGATAATCAAAAATATTGAAAATTGTTATAACTATCAACACTAGTATATTTATTTTTTGTTGATTGACTTCATTGTGTAGAAGCCATTCTACTTTCCTGCAAGGCCATTTCGTTCTTGCGATTAATGGCTATTTGTTGTTGTTTACGCATTCGAATTACACTAGTAGTGATTGTCAATAGAATACACACAACGTAGTATGCAATCAAGGTGCCCACGTCAACACCGAATCTAGTATGCGAACCAAAAAGCAGATGACGACCTCCACTCAAACAATGAAAGAGAGGTAAGCCGTAGCCAATACGATAGAATTTATGTTGAAGTTCAATTGCTAAACTCGATCCTGCTGTTGAGAAGTTAAGAATAAGAAAGAGTATAAGTACAACATGAGCCATTACTCCCAAATTGAGAGTGAACAGAGCTATTATAGACACAAATGTGACAGCAGCTAGCCAATTGAAAAGCCAAAATTTAATAAACGGAATAGCTCCAGTGAAATTACCAAACCAGAGAACGCATAAACTGTAAATGAGTGATATTATGAGACTATGAAAAACACTGTTTATAATGCGTACTATTGCTATATCGATGATGTTGACTTTGTCAATGAATGGCGTCGTGATGCGGATGGTTACTGCAACAAGAGCGCTCATAATAAGCCAGAGAAACAGATAACCGAGACTAGTAGCAAGCAATCTAGCGTAGGGAAAGGCAGGATGAAGATTTATATTGGTGAAGCCAATAGGTGAGCAGATAATTTGAGACATTGAGACAGCCATTATGACGCTATTCAATGTAGCATTTGAGTAAGAATCAATACGAGATTGTATGTAGGCAGCATAGTTAGCGCTAGCAGCAGCAATAGCTGCTCGAATGGGAGGTAAAACGAACTCATTGACACTATTTGCATTACGACCTTCATCATAAATAATGTTTACTGCTGATGAAGGAACGTAAGAGGTTGAATTAGTTGTAAATCCATACAAAATCGATTCAATGATCTGATTAATACGAGCAGTAATACTCGGATTCAAATAAACAACGGCCCAAGCTTTTCCATTCTCAATCTTGTCGACAAAACCTAATGGAAAGTCGGAAGATTGTTTGAAAATCCAATTAAGCGTTAAGTTACCAGGTGGGGTTTGATGAAAGGCAGTGAGGAAGTAGCTACCTGCAATATCATTATCCAAATCAATTACGTATACATCAAGTGAACCCGTGTGCTTATAAGGATCCTACATTCAAAATAGAAAACAAACAATAGTGAAAGGATAGAAATCAAAAGAAAAAGAATTGATATACGATCAATCGTTTCTTCTTTCTACTAAAATTATTTGTTTAGGATGTCATAATTGCTATTCAATGGTGTGAGCTAGGATCATAAATTTTGTATGAAAACATTTGAATAATAAAGCGCAAATTTTTCTAAATGAATGACCTGTTTTCTAATGAAAATTCAGACATAATGTGATAATCTTGCCCAATAGCTACAGCTCAATGTAATTCACTATTTAGCAACGTGTTGGAAAACGTTTTTCCGTAAAGACATTTTTATCTCTTCAAACACATCCTTGGATTCATCAATTATCTATTTAATGAAACAATTTGAGACAGATAAAATATTTAAATAGAACAGATAAACGTACTGTACCACTGCCGAGATAAATTAGTGCAATGAGAAAAATAACAATCCAGACAATGATCGAGAGACGAATCACGTGAATAACAAGTGTTCGACGTATCGTAGCCATGTCAGCATTTCTAGACCATAGGTGTGGCAGTGATGGTTGAGTTTGAGTAGACAACACCATTGAGGACACTTTTTCATACGAAAAATGATGATTACAAATGAAAAGGAATCGATCGTCAATAATTACGCTCAAATTGCTTGTATAAACATGTGATGAAAGTGCACTGAAGCATGACACATTTTTTCACCTTTTATCAATGTATATTTGTATATGCATGAATCTTATTATTTTTTTTTTTCTTCATGATAAAACACTAATAATCGACTTTTATTCGATCTAAAAAGGCAGGTTACCATTTTTCGAATAACTTTTGATAGGAATGAGATAGAGAGCTGCAATTTTCACTATTCGAAAGAGCCTTGCTCGGGCCATCAATCGATATAGAACTCATCAGGATAGAAGATGTTTTTTTTATAGGTACCTTTGGATCAACACTTTTTTCTTTGAGTATTTCTATCAATTTTCATAATAATCTCAACTCAAATTATGTCAAAATGTAGCTCGGATCACCCTTTTTTTGCTATAAAATTAACATTTGTTTTTTTTTCAATCCACTTAGGATAAGAGTTTGAGAGATAATGAAATATGTGATAATTTTATAGCGAAAAAAGAGTAATTTGAGCTACATTTTGACATAATTTGAGTGGAGATTATTTTGAAAATTGATAAAAATACTCAAAGGAAAAAGTGTTGATCCAAAGATATGTATAAGAAAAAAAAAAGCATCTTTCCTTTTAATGAGGTCTATACCGATCGATGGCTCGAACATCGCTCTTTCGAATGGTGAAAATCGCAGCTCTCTATCACGTTCCTATCAAAAGTTATTCGAAAAATGGTAATCTGCCTTTCATTTTGGATCGGATAATAACTAGTAATAGTGCTTACATTTCGACGTTAGATCCAACAGCAACTATGGACTTTGTTCATGTATGGTCATCACGAAAAGACATTGCTACCTTGCGTGTCGCGTATGGATATCAGTGGATTATCGGATATGTTCCACTTTGGATATTCATCTTCGTTATGTGTGCGTTCTATCTAGGTGCTGGGCATAATCCAAATCGATACACGGGCAATATAGATGTTGCGATAATCGATTTCGATGGTGAACAAGCTGGTAAGTGCTTTCTCGATGCTTTTCGAACTACATCACCTGGAAATCGGACTCTTCACTGGCGATACAAGTATCCGGATGAGTATGGCAATAGTGTGAATACGACTCAACAATCTGTCAATGATGGAGAAGTGTGGGCCGTCGTAGTACTTCAACCAAATACCACATCAACTATTAATAAGTCTTTATCTGCTCTGATCAATTCTACAACATTGGTGACCTATCCACTTGTTAACACATTTCCTGTGCTTGTTATCTATGATGAAGGACGAAATCCATTTACTCAAAATATTTTTGTATTACCACCTATTCGTGCAGCTATTGCAACAGCCAACAATCTGTATAGTCAAACACTTCGTACAACAATCATTTCCAACTTATCCTCCACATCTAGCTCAAGTACTAATCGAACATTGCAATTACAAAACACGTTACGTCTTCGATCTCTCCTTGTCAATCCACTCGCTATAGAATATAATAACCTTCATCGGGCTCTTCCTTACGTAGGTCTGTTTGAGTATGATATTATTTAAACTGAAACAAATCTTGGAAATGTTTCCAAAATTCTAAACTTTTTTTTTCTACATAAAAATATCAGTACATGTTTTGGCTATTGTCTTTATAATAATTCATAAAGATATTTTATGATCTGAACTGCTAATAAGGAAAAGCTAACGTCGTTTTACACATATTTAATATGATTTGTTTCGTTTGATTTAGGTCAATTTGCTACAACTATTGGCTACATTTATTTATTTTTGGTTACGACAATTATGGTTGGGTCAACCATTGGTATCTTAATGCCATTCAGTAAGACTAATCTTTTCTCATTGTTTACTAGTAGTTCTTTTATTTGGAAACAAACATTTAACTTTGAGAAAATCCATCCTATCATTTTTGAATAAGTAATAAAAAGCTGATAAATTACCTATAGATAAAGAGTGACTAAAAAAACATCCAAATCTATTTTGTGAATTGATGTTATTTATGGCAAACAGGTATACTATTAATTGATCTAAACATACAAATTTCTTAGAGAAAAATTAGCATTATCATTTGAACAAAAACTCATCGATATTGCATAAAAGTCATACACTGTTACAGTTATTTCACTAATCTTTAGTGAACATTTTCATCATATGTTTTTCAAAAACATTATTTTTTCGTCAAAGTCACATGCTTTTGTTTATTAGGGTTTATCATTTGAATCAAATGATATTAGTCATATTTTCTGATTATTATTGTGATTTTATGAAACTATTGATATTGTCAAAATCTTCCACACTGGCTTTTTTTTTATTTAGGATATGTTAGATGAGAACGAAAGCGAGAATAACAGTTTGTTGTTCTAGATTATATTGTTGGTTCGATGTATTCGGATTATGTTTATAAAATAAAACGCAGTATGAGGAGCTTTCATAGTCAAATTAATTTTTATAAAATAACAATAATAATCAGAAAATATGACTAATATCATTTGGCTAGAATGATAAATACTAAAACAATGATATAAATAAAAGCATGTAAGTTTGACGAAAATGTTTATTGAAGATTAGCAAAGCTACAGGTAACATTGTATGATTTTTATGCATTTCTATGAATTTTTGTTTAGATGACAGCGCTAATTTTTCTCTAAACAAAAATTGTATATTCACACTAATTAACTGCGTACCTGTTTCCAATCAGTAACACTAGTTTAATGAGAAGGATTAAAGTTTTTAAATCACACATTATAGCATACTTTTTTCATTGGGAACAGTTTTATTTATCAGATTTCGACGACGATGTTGTAAAATATACACCTGATATCTTTCTCTGTTAAATTGATAGTAGAATAAAAAATATGAGGATAGCTGTTCGTGATAGTGATTAATACACTTCTTCCATCTCATTATCAATTTACAAGAAAAAGGTATATGATGTGTGTAGTTCACAATCTAAAAACGAGGTCATAATCTTGTAGAATCTATGATCAAGCAACAATATGTCTATTTAATCACTGAAATTAACATGTACTTCCTACCAAATTGAAAGCAAGATTCTTGAAAAAAATCTTGGACATGTTCCTGCTAGCTACTTCTTTTTATTTTTCGAAAAGAACAACTGTAACATGTTATCATTGTTTTGTTTACTAGTTGGTAAAATTCATTACGTCGATCTGATCTTGTGTCACGTCTTGAATAAGGTATTTCAATCGTTGATGATTTCTTTGATCTATTCTCTTATTGTTCTTTGGCTATTTCATATCACATCGGCTCGTCAATTTATGCAATATTGGATGTTCAATTGGTTGAGTACAACGTTGTTGAGTATTATAGTATCTTTTTTTCTAACCAATTTTGGTGCATTTGCCAACATTTTTCTTGTCATTTGTGTTGTTATTATGGTTTCTGGTGCTACCATCCAGATATCGCTTGAACTTTCATCATGTTTCTTTCGTTATGGCTATGGAATACCTTTATATCATGTAATTAATGGTGGTCGACATCTTTTGTTTGGTTCATATTCACGTTTCGGCATTAATGTTGGAGTTTTAGTTATTTATCTTGGTATGATGATCATATTTACCGTTTTGACTATTATCTTCTGGACTAAAAAACATCAACAAGAAATTCGAAAGAAAGAAAATGAAACAAACATGAACAATACTATAACTGACGATATTATAACTATTCGCTTGTGAATGCTAGACTATATAAATACGATTAACCGTTTGTTTCATTCTCAGTTGATTCTGTTATATTGATTTTAATTTTGATTTAAGGAAAGTTTATCAATTTCACTTTTAAACAGGATGGAAAATGTAGAGATCTTGATATTGTGGTGCTTTTGTTTTCACAAAGCTACTGTGCATAACGATCAACTCACACAAGAATATTTTCAATCATTTACTCATTTCATAAATATGATTTGTCTAGTTAAGTAAAATTCTTTGAGACTAAAAACAAACTCAGAAGAATAAATGTATGCGTCTAGCCGTTTCTTTTCTATGTAAGATCATCCCTCTCACATGTTTGTTCGGATTATTGGCGGTAGCACTTACGACTTTCAGCTCCAACAATAAACAATTGCAGAGAGCATTTTCTATCCGAATTCGAATTACTTATTAGAAAGAATTCAAATTAACCGAGAAAACAACAGTTTCCGAATATATGTTACTAATTGGACGCACTTCGATGCAGTCAGGACCAACATCATAGAGTAACGCATTTACATGCTTTTCTAGGTTTAGCTGATTAATAATTTTCGAGCTGAATAATTTAGAAAACTATTGAAATAAGAGAAGTTCTTGTTTTTTTCTATCGAATATTGAACATTTTCCTATAGACTGCTTCTACTATTCATAATAATTTGATCAGTATTTTCGCAGATATTCATTGACCGATCGTTTTTACTATGATTGAAATATCATTTTAGATATAATTACGTACCATTTTAATCTTCCTTAATCTCACATTTTATCAATGTTGTTTCAATGGGAATAAATTATAGTATAGAGATTAGGAGTATCTAGTACCTATCATCAGTAATCAAGGAAATTCATCAATTATTCTCCATATCATATCCATACGTTGTGAAAATTTTGCCTCATGTCTCATTCTCAATCCGTATCTGCCACGTCTTACATCTTCTTCTAGACATGCAAATTTGAAAGAATTAAAATCTCTTCCAGTAAGAAATAAATATTGCAATACGATCTAAAAGTTATTAACTCATCTGTCAATACAAAATTTCAACAGTATAGTGTAAAGAGAACTTGCTGTATTGTCTTGATAACTTATGATGGTCGTAAATATTCACAAATCTGATTCACCAAGTAATTATAGATAAGAGCACATTGACAACTATTTCGTAGGATCAAAAAACATTTTACTCAAGTTTTATTTACTTACAAACCAAAGTCATACATATGAAATAATTTTTAATATCAAAATGTACAGTTCGCTTTGATATTTTCTGTGATGTATTAGATTTTCAAATAAAATGTTTCTGGAAGCCAGTGCCAGCAAATGCAAAAAACAAGCAACCAAACTATTAGTAATCAATAAGAAAATTCCATAGTTATAGCTTATAGTTAGTTTTAATTAATAAATCACTATTTGAAAATCCTTTTTTTATTGTTCAAATAAACGTATGTGTATTAGATAGATGATAAAGAGTCAGCTTTAAGGATTTAGTTTTTGCAGAAAAAACAGCCGAAGCTAATAGTTGAAGAAAGAAAACAATACTCATTTTTTGTTGCACGATGATGTCATATATATGACAATTTTATTTAAACTCCCTACAAAGAAGCACGACACATAGAACATCGTAACCTTGGATATATCAGGCTGTTTCAATATACATAGAAAAATTTTCTTTCTCTACTAGTGACATCTTTGTTACTGCAGTATTTGAAGTATTTATTAATAGAACAAAATCTTTTTTCATATACCTTAGAGTATGCTCTACAAGATAACAGCAATAAGATTTTTAAAATGATGATTTCAAACTCCTAAACTATGAAGTTATGCTTTACGCGTTTAAATCGTGTTCAACTATCAAACTGGCAAATGACGTTCTATTTTTTGATTTTTCTTTTCTTTACCTGGTGAAATAAGAACTCTACCGTTTTTCTTTCTCTCCCTTTTTTTTCTTTTCGTCTATTTATTGTCATTAGAGAATGTCGTTTTTTCTTTTCTCAACATAGTTCTTCTACTTCTTTTTTTCTGCCAGTCGGTAAGATCTGTTATTCTTTTTATCAACAGGATTGTTTTTCTTGATATTTACTCATTCTTATCGATAACGAAAACTATTTAGTCGTTATTCAAATAAACATATACGTGGAATTGTAAAGAATGGATGAGTTTATTCGACAATTGACTCATGATAATCAACTGTTCAAAGATCAATGGCCGAATATATATGATCAAGTGCGAAAAATGTTCAATGAATATGAAGAGAAACATAGTGATATTATAAATTTCAAGGTCAAAGTTTTAGATGTTCTTGTCGATTATGCACTTGCAGAATCAACAAATGATAGCGAACCGATCGATGTTAAAATTGTGTTTATCGAACACACTGTAAAATTATTAGTCGATGATCCACTACCATCATTGACTGATCTTGTACGTATTTTGCGGCGTATTCTCGATACAAATAATATATTTCATAAATGGCATCTAGCCTGTATTAAAACTTTCTATTATAAATTTAAACTTGGTGAACGTTTATCATCGACAAAATCGATCGATTTGATTGAATCAATTTTTCAAAGTTTTCAAAAACATTCATTTTTAAATGGAGAAACAGATAAACAGACACAAGAAAAATGGAAAGAATTTTTATCTAGACAAATGTTCTCATCATTGTCAATGGATACAAATGTATTAAGTCGTGAAGAAACAATGCTGACGATGCGACCTGCCTATCAACAATTTTTCAAGTAGGAATAAGAAATTTAATAATGAGAACGTCAAATTAATTTCAATACATTTATATAAGCAAAATCAAAAAAAAAAAAAACAAAAGATAAAACTTGAGAAGTGTAAAATACATATGTAGATAGATGCTCGTCGAAATTAGTAGGAAAAAATATGATTTCAAGCACATCGAGAATCCATGTAAGATGATCTGACCATGATTTTAGATCCGACAAACGATTTTCATATCAAAAGGTGATTATTCTCAATTTTTCTTCAAACTTAATGTTGATATTTGATAAGATCAATGCGCATAATATTCTGTAATCGGCATGAAGAGAAAAGCTACGAATAGAATACCTTATCTACATTCACATCCGTTGTTAAATCGAATTATTCTTCTTGAAAATATTGAATAATAGGTCGATTGCGAATTATATGTTGACTAAGAATTCTATTCTTTACAAAAGTGTGGAAAATATTGAGACATTCCCACATAACATGTTAATATAAATTCATTTTTTTTTGTATCTAAAGGTATGCTGCTCGTATGTCTCATCAATCACAAGTATGGTCAGGTGTTGTATCAACATTGACACGAACATTACCAACATTATTTGATGAGTATTCAAATGCAAGTGATGCACAAGCTGATCTAGTAGAATGTGTCAAACAACCGATTTCCAGTGACTTTCTTGATTTGCTTGTTAAATCCTATAAGAAAAATGCTCATCTATTCAAAATGAATTCATCGGAATTTTCGACTGTGATTGAAAAACTTCTATTATTTGATCAGATCGAGAAAGCTTACAATTTTATCGATAGTGTAATCATTGTTCATATCGATTCGGCAATGGATATCATGGATTCTTTAATTCGTATGTTTATACGTACATGTCCAATAGTAAATATCAATAGTCGAAATGAATTATGTAAACGAGTTATATCATCTTTAGTTTATAAATTGGGTAGGGTCAAATGTAACAAAAAATTTGCACCACTCTTTTTTGATTTTGTTCTTATCATACTTGATTTATGTGTACTGGAAGCACCTCAATGTGCTTGGCGTTTACTTGAAAAAGCTGACTTTTATCCATGGAAAGAATTAGCACCAAAATTCAAAGATTTCGTTCGATTATGTGCTGCCTATGATAAATTAAATGAAACAAATTATTTTAGCGATCTTGATACACTTGAAAATATTCTTCGATTAGCTGTCGATAGAGCTAAAGTTAATAACATCATTTTTCGATCAACACATGATGAAGCTTTAAAAGCTATACTTCGTTGGTCAGCAGCACCGACCGAAAATAGTAGTAAAAAGTCATGGGATACACATGTTTATAGAATGGGACGACCGATGGCAGAACTTATCGATCAAAAACAAGTTACTATGGAAATTTGTTCTCAATTTATTAAAGTACTCGAACAAAGAGTTATCGATAATGAGGATGATGATAGTAAAGAAACAACAAGTCCAATGATGGCATCATTCTTCATTGTAAGAACGATTCTATAAAACGTTATTTAACCGAAAATTATTTACATTTAGAGTTTGGCAACACAATTAGGAAAGTATATTGAAATTCTTAAAAATTTTCCACAAGAAATTCATCGTCAATTGGCTTCATTGATTCTAACTGCACTTAAACGTCCATATCAAAATGAAAATGGACAAATGTCACTCGAACATATAATAGCAATGAATCTCTGGTTTAAAATTGCACAATGTCTAAAGGATGAAGCTGATGTTCGTCTTTATGAATCATGTATAAAAGAAATACATTCATTGGCATGTGATAATGATGAAAAAACATTTTTTGATTGGTGGAATGCATTTTGGTTTATTGTCGGTATGAAAATACCTGATGCAGCTGCTGATTATGTTGAAGATTTTCTAAACGATTTACTTGATCGAAAACAAATTAATATGATTAGTCTATTGCCAGTAAGTAGATATTTTAGGTTATTTTTGTCTTCTCGAAGAAAATACATGTAAACATTTATTTTTGACGAGAACTTAAACAAAAAGTAAGAGGAGCAACGGTTGAACGAAGAAATTTTGTATGTGAACAAAAAATATCAATTCATATATAATGTTAATATAGCTGCAAACCTATTGAATGACCTGGCATCTTCCGTTATTTTTTAAATATTTCATTTTCCGCTTTGAATAGTATACGTGTAAAACAATTCAATAGCTTATTTCAGTCGACAATGATTCAGAGATATTGAAGGAATATTATTAAAAACAGGTCCAATAGTTACATACGATGGACTATTGAGTTGTTCTCTCTTAGATTTTCCTTCAAAGTTTGACTTCAATATTATTTTCATTAATATAGTTCTTGATGAAACTAATTGATTTTTTATGAAAATATTTGATTGTTTCATACCTTTTAAAATCAAAAATGAACAAAAATATTGCATTTTCATTGTGATCTTAATGCATACAAACTTTTTAGTTGCATTTCTAATTTACACAAAAGATTTCATTATCAAAAGAAAAAGACGCTTTACAGCATCAAATTTTTTCTATTATTTACTGGTATTCAACGAATGAAACTATTTTAAATATTTTTCATTTACAAACATTCCTTTTTATTTCGTTTTTTTTTCTAGACATTTTATCCTAAACGTCCAGATCCGTACCATGCTCGACTAGATGAATTAATCAATAGCATGTTTTCTGGTGATATAGGACATGTATCATCACTAGGAAATCTCTTTTACGTCATTGCTAAAGAACATCCTGAATTGATTACAGAGGATCATGTCAATAATATATTCGGTTCACTCAATGATCATAAAGGTACTTCACAAGAACTTTATCTTATTTTTCAAGGACTCGGCGTTGTGGCAAATGCACAACCTCATCTATTTCATAAACATTATACTACACTTTTACGTTTTATTGTTGAACTACAGAATATATCAGCTTTTACTTGTCTTCAACAATATTTTGTTGCATCGACTATTGTTGATGGTGAACAACGAGCCAATGAGTCTCTAACATTTCTTATTGATCTTTTAAAACGTGGTTCGGGAATTACAAATGATATTCGAAAACAAATTTTTCATGCATGTCAATTAATCGGTGTGATAAATAAGCAAGCACTTGAAACTAAACGAAAAGATTTAGAAGCATTCAATTCATTTCCTGAATGTCGTACATTAATCGATTTTATTGATGGAAATAAAATGAGTGAAGAAAATCAAGCTGCAATAAATCGAACACGTGAAGAAATTGTACAAATGGAAAAACGTGTTGTCAAAACTGAGAAAGATGTACATCATATAACAAATGTTGTTAAACGACAAGAATTGAAAGTAAGTTTTCTATTTATGTTAGAATATACAAAAAGAAAACGACGAAATCCGAATACTCTCGAATGTATATAGGATCGTTTTCCATTCTTATAGATGCTGCAATGTCAATATGAGCAACAACAGACTTCTTCAGCATTAACCGATCTAACAACGAGCAGTCAAAATAATCCTAGAACTAATGATGCTGCTATTGCATGGATCGATCGCATTGAATTGTCCCTTGACAGAATATTTCTTGAATTACAAACAGTTCGAGAGGAATTGCGCTTGTTTCGTCAACATTTTTTAAATAAATAAAGAATATAAAATAGTATCTGTTTCTCTCTCTCTCTACATATATAGGTGACCAATCTTGGTGCACATGTCGATTCTGTTGATACACGTTTGAATGATGTCACCGAACAAGTACAAATACAAGCACGAGAAATTGAACGAATCGATGCAAAAACATTGAGCTATGTACCAGCTGAATGGGGTAGTCAGGTAACAAAATTATTGAATCATCGAGCAAATAACGATTGGCGTTTACTTGGAAAACGTTTTGGTTATTCGACAAGTGAATTACGACATTGGGCTCTTCAAGCTGATCCATCGATGAGTTTATTGAACGAATGGTTTATGACACATAAAACTGATGAAGCAACTTATGGACTTGTTAAGATGTTAGATGAAATCGGTCGACAAGATGTTACAAAAATTATTCGAGATGCAATTTCAGCAGCCGGTCAACTCATTCCTGATGATATGCCTATTGAAATCAAACGTCTTCCACCTATCTTTCTTTCATATCAATGGGAAAGTCAAAAAGCTGTTCTAACACTCAAAACTCATCTTGAAGAAGCTGGTTATGCATGTTGGATGGATATTGGACAGATGGGTGGTGGTGATAAATTATTTGCTAAAATTGATGCTGGTATTCGTGGAGCAAAAGTTGTTATCTGTTGTATGAATTCAGCGTATAATCAATCGGATAATTGTTTACGTGAGGTTCATTTATGTGTTAATACAGGTAAACCAATAATTCCTTTACAAATGGAAAAACAAACATGGCCACCTGAAGGTGCTCTTGGTCCAATCATGAGTGAATATTTGTACATTCGATTTTATGATCGTAAATCAAATTCGGACAATTATTGGCCTGCAGATAAATTTACTGAACTTCTTGGTCAAATTCGTTATCATATAGCACCCGATCCGGATATGATCAGTGAACGATATAGTAATTGGTTTGTACCACGTGTTGATAATTTGATCTTTCTTCAACCAACATCCAATGACAATAAGAATAAACAAGTTGAATTAAAAGATGATACTCCACTTGTTGTTACTCATCCACAAGTAATGATTTCATATCAATGGGATCGTCAAACTGATATTGTTGCTCTATACAAACGATTGACACAATTGGGCTATCGTTGTTGGCTTGATATATTTCAAATGGGTGGTGGGGATTCTCTATTTGAAAAGATCGATACTGGAATACGCAATGCTAAATGTGTACTTGCTTGTGTCACTCCAAAATATATAAAATCAATCAATTGTCGACGAGAAATGTCATTGGCTGATGCACTTACTAAACCAATTGTTCCATTGTTACTTGAAGATACAACTACATGGCCACCAGCAGGTCCCATGGCACTTGTTTTTACTGAAAAACCATATATTGATTTTCGTCATCAAAATGAAAATATTCCAGATGGTCAAGATATATGGTCATTGAAACAATTCGAACAAGTACTTGCTCGATTGAAAATAGCTGTACCCGAAGTTCAAACAGAAAAACCTCGAAAACATTTACTCGATATGAAACGACCAACAACAGCATTAGGACATGTCGAACATAAAAAACGACCAGCACGTATTCGAAGTGCACCTAGTGTTCCACAGAGTCGAGCATGTTCTATCATGTAAAGACTTACTTTTACATCACTATAATGATGTAACCTAATATAATACAATATTCTTTTTAGTCTTTACAAAACATTGCCAAATAGATATATGTTTATGATAAATAATATTGATGGATTTTATTTCAGATATATCCAATTGAATTATGCAACAATTGTAGATTCTGTTCAATATTGTAATTTAGATTTCAATGTGCTAAAATGCGATCACATAGGTCTAAGAGTAATGAGGTAGCAGTATCTATCATGATTTATTTCATTGTTGCTCGGTGTTTGATGAATGTGATGACAATTTTAACGCATTCGACTTGCAATTAATTTCTAACCATATTTTTACTTTGTTCTATTATTTAAAAAAAGCGTATCGTACACATGTCTAGATTAACTGCTAATTTATATAAAAGCATAGGATCGAAAACTGATTCGATCATGAGTGAACAATTTATTTTACTTGAGAGAACAGGTCATAAACAGTGTAAAGCGATATTGTTTTACTAAAAGGATTCATTTTTAATGAAAATTCATCGACAAATAATGATGAACTATATGATGAAGTAATTGAATGCATGAAGAGAAAAATGAATTATTAAAAGGGTGAACATGTATTCTCATGATAGAGAAAAGCATTTATGCATGTATCCACAATCATGATATTTGGCATCAATACTGCATTTTATTCCAACGTCATCACAAAAACAAGCAAATGTATATTTAGTGAAACTGCTCAGATTTTAGAAGCAAAAAAGACATCAAGTGAATCCTGAATTACCTGCTTTTTTTGTGAAATTTGAGATGATCTTTCTTTTGTCGCTGTTTATGGCAGAAACTAAATAATTAGTATACTTTTTCATATACAATAAAAGTTTGAACATCGTACTATGACTATAGAGGAATCTGCCGGATGTCATTGAGCTTTAATTGGATACCAGGTACAGCTATCCGAGCTCGAAACGGTCTAGGATATTTAAAAAAAAATGCCGTTTCGGTTTCGAAAAGTCATGTTCCTGCAGAACACTAACTCACATTCTCACTTCTTGCTGAACAATTGACAAATTGAGAACAGTAAATTAGTTTTATTTTCTTTGGTTGTAAATTTTATTCTATTTAAATTAAAATTCAATCAATTTTATTGATCACTTAATAAAATTTCAAAAATAAGTACTTGTTAATTTCGATGATATACGATCAACATTTTGTTCAATTCGAATCACATTAGGATTTGTAGCAGGCAACGAATCAGAAAAGATTTTCGATGCTTTTTTAAAATTGAATAATGCTTTTTCAAAATCATCTAGATGTTCATAAATAAGACCTATATTTTCATATGTCATGGCAAAATGAAGATGAGAAGGAGGAAGAGATTTTTCATAAATTTTCAGTGATGAAGTATAATGTTTTAATGCCAAATCATATTGATCGAGACAAACATAACTATTACCAATATTATTGTGTGATGTACCAATATGAGGATGATGAACAGGAAGATGATTCTGATGAATAGTCAATGCTTTTTGATGACATTCTAATGCTTTCGAATATTTTTTTTGATCCTGATAGACATTACCCAAATTACTAAGACACATAGCTACATCTGGATGTTCTTCACCATATGTTTTCTTCCAAATAATCAATGCTTTCTTGTACGATTCAATTGCTTGATTATGATCACCTATCTCTTGATAAACAATAGCACTACTATTGTAAATGTTAGCAATATTTGCATCATCGTTTTCCAATATTCGATTAATAATCTCGAGCAATTTGTTGTACCATGTCAGACTCGATTTAAAATCTTTTTTCTCACTTGTAACGATTCCTAAAGCATGATAACATGCGGAAATATGTGGATGTTTATCAGGTAATTGTTTTAAATAATAACGATAATATTTTTCAGCATAATCTAATTTACCCATATCGTGTAAGACACCTGCAAAAATATATAAATTTGTTTCTCCATTACCGAGTTTTTTTCTCATATATTCAAAAAGTGATTGTAATTTCTCATCATTATTAGAACATAATCTTAAACGAATATTCCAAATTCTATTATTATCACGTTTTATTTCAATAACTTGAAAAATTGAACCAATCATGAAAAGTATTTCTTCTTCTTCGTAATCATTAAATGTGGTTATATTACTGAAAGCTTTAATATTTTTCAATCGAGAATCTGCATCAATTTTGAAGAGAACATTTTTATTATCATCAGAAGAATTATTAGAAATAAAATTTTCAGCTATTTCTGATTTAAGACTTGTCGAAAGAAATGAATTCATGGAAATAAATTGACCAACAGAATTTTGAAACATTTCGATTTCTTTTTTTGACATTTTTTGACCACGATAAACACGAACAATTGATGAACATTTATTTTTTTCTAGTTGTTGTGCAAGATCACGAATAAAAAATCGAAATAAATATAATAATTTAATGTCTTGAACTCGAAGTGCTTTGTTCAACATTTTATAAAGAAATGTTTCTCTCGTATACCATGTTATGGATTGATCAGATGAATACTTACGTTCGAATTCTTCCACAATTTTAAAATTATCAGAATTTTTTTCAAATTTTTCTTTTAAATCACTAATAAATTCTTGTTTTTCATTCAATGATGGTTTCATCCGAATAAGACAATCAATTAATAGTTGAAAATGTATGAATTGACCATTTAATTCAGTTGAAGAATGTTCTTCAATTAAAATATTCGAATTAAATGCACATATCGGTATTTCTTCATCAATTTTATGATGCTTTATTTGTTTTCGATCAGATTGAATTTGATCAAATAAATCATCCAATCGAACAATGACATCTTTTACCTAAACAAAAGCTGTTAGTGTAATTCTGGTAGGATTAAAATGTGAAACACGACGTAACTACTGTTACTCATCATAGTGAGGTCGTTTATTTTGTCTAGCTTGGAACACATTTCTTCACTCTCCTTTTACTTAATCCTCCAGAAATACAATAAGGAAGTAGTTAATACGTTGCAACGAGCTGTTATCAATGTACTGTCTATGATTGTACATCAAAAACATCTGTGACGATTTTTGGCCAGCAACTTCCACAATCTGTGATGGTCTATGAGAAACCGAGGGAGTTGCAAATCAGAGTTGGGTACAAGACAACTTCTCTGTCCTGTTGCCTTACTCCATCCTGACGAGCGACAACACAGGACAACAGGACCGTCCTGTCTTATACCCAGCTCGCGTGTAAATTTCTATCTTATGTATCAGACCACGAAATGGGCCACTCGGCCCGACGGTTTTATCCTTTTTTGATATAAAGTTTCCTGAGATTTGGCTCACACCTGAGGAGAGATAGAGGGAAGCTTCTCCACGCTACCCCCCTTGATCATCATTTTTTATAAAAGCCGAAAAATGTGGAATAGCTGTCTACTGAGAAAAAAATCTTTGTAAACGAAGTTTCTTTCGGATCGGGACATAAAAAAGTAGTCCGATTTCGAGGCCTGCTATGTACTTCAATACTTCTTTTCGATCTTGTTTCACAAAATACATATATACAAGTTATTTGAAGTTAAATCTCGAAAACTAAAAGACTATACTAACTTTAGAGAATTGTTTTGCCCATTGTTCATTAGCTTTTTTGTCTTGGCAATAAACATAGATTGAAATAATTTGTTGAAGTTGAGCAATTTTTGGAACAATAATTCGACCTAATCTTCCGCTAACAATTAATATAATACGATCGTTTTTTGACATAGAATGAATGTGTTGAAGACATTGTTTATCATCTTCAAATATTAATAAATTATTAGTTGATGTTCGAAGTTGTTTTTGAGCGTTAATATTCTCTTGTGAACTGTTGGCTGAAGCATCAAGCCAAATTACTGAACATTTGTACAAATTTTCATTAACTTTCAATGATCCTACTTTATTATTCATAGTTTATCTGTAGTTCTGTTCACAAAAAAAAGTCTGTTGCACGTTTGATAAAGATAACTTCTGTTTAGATATATATATATAATGTGATAAGAATCTCACATGTCCTCAGAGATGTTTATTATCTATTGGAGATTCACAAAAACGAAAAGTTACATTATTTGCAAAACAAAAACAACAGAAAATGTTGAGTAGACAGAAGAAAAAGAAAACTTTATGGTCTCGTTCTTGTACCTTTAATTTCGTAAAGGATCACAAAAAAAATGTTGAATGTAGAAAAAAAAATTAATTTTGATCATTCTAATTGTTTCAAAACGAGCCCTAGGGCATATGTTGAGTTCAAGGTACGCGAAATGATATCCTACTATCACAGTAGATAACAAAGTCTTTTGAGCTTTTCAGTACCATAGCTTGTTTTCTTAGTAATTAAATCAAGATATTTTTAAATGTTTAATCGTTTAACTTACTGAAAAAACTTTTATAGAATTTTCTGAAAACTGAACAAGTACTCGAGCAGATATCATATAGTACTGTATTTACTGACAAGAAAATTGTTGTCAATAGGAAATCGAGTTTGACTAGGACTCTACACATATAATAAACTTCAACGACATGAGCTCTCTTGGCCTTTTATTTCAAGTTTATATCCATTTTATTGGAATTTTAGCCTATGAAGAAATATATGTCAATAATTCGATTGCCTGTATTTTGACCGAAAGTTTTGTCCAAGGGTAGGTCTATTTGTAAATAGAATACTGAGAAAATTTGAGTTCATCAAAATATTTTCTTCACAAAATATTGAATTTCCAATAAACATAAGGTTCTCGCATCTTGTGTTGAATGTCACTGATTAGTTGGAAACCCAATATTATTGTGAAGAAAAAAAAATCTTTTAAGTCGAAATTTTTTCAGTATTCTTGTTATAAGTAGTTCCATACGTTGAGAAAATTTCAGACGAAAATATCGTCATTCGAATTGTTAGTAGATACCGTGCTGTCGACTAAAATAAGCATAACTCTCGTGTGAAAGACTGATGAAACTAATCCTTTTGAGGTTTCTTATTCCTCAATAATATACATAGTGAAAATACGAAAACGATTAGTTACTGAGAACAGTACTCTCATAAGACCAATATCAATGGAGCATCCAACCAAGATCCTATTGTATACTGGTAGTAGAATATTTATTCGAATACTCTACTAAACATTGTTCCAGAACACGAAGGGTTTGAGTGTAAATATTCCATCCACCCACATGCTAGTTCAAATCTAATTTTTGATATGTCTGTCGTTTTTTTCTGTGAATGCAACATAATTGCTATTTTTGGAATTAATTCAAATTAATGACACTTATTCTTGGAGTCAAGATGGAAAGATCTTGAGATCTAGTCTTCTCAGGTCGATATAATCTAGATCATATTGCTTCAAAATAATTCATTCTCGATCATCGATCAATATCTCAATGTGTTCTCGAATAATGACTAATCGAAAATTTTCCAAAAAACAATATGATAAACGAAAATATATAGATTTGATATATTTCATTGGCTCGATTATGTGTACCTACGCAAGTAATATAGAACTGTGAATGAATACTTTGCAAAAAGATAAATGAAATATCTATAATATGATATATTGAATTGTGATACATAAATACGACATTTTTTATTTTATTGTGATTAATAAACTCATCCATTTGCTAAAAGTGTATCTTTTTCTTTCTACGAGTCATTGACTCAATTTGTTCTTAACTCATATTTACTGGATAAAAACAACTTATGTAATTTTTTCTATAACATCAATAAAAATCTGAAGTGCAGAATGATTTACGGAGAAGTCAAACAGAATTTAAAATGAATAAATTAATGATTCTGTACAGTTAGAGTACTTTTATTATATCTTTCTCAAATAGAGAGATTTCTCATCATGATCATATGAATTATCTTTTGTGCTTTCAAAATTTAGCTTTGGAACTTAGTAGCTAAAGTTATCATTCTTAATTGAATGGAAAAAGTTTCATCAGTAGTCTAAATATCTAGTTTTGGAAAGTAAAATATTCATATTAATCATGTAAATTTAAGTTACTATTTCTTTTGTTCGAATACTTGATGATTCTATGTTGATAAAAATATGTACTCGAAAAAGAATGAACCACATGTTAAATATACGTATGTTGTGCACTGAATAAATAAACAATATCTTTATAAATTTAAAATGAATGTATCTCGATAGTGTATATTGAAACATTGATGAAAGTGTGATCAAACAGTTTCTTTATAGTGGCTGTATAATTGATCATTTATTTGAACTAATTATTGGTTTTTATAATTATGGTTTTTGTTATGAACAAACCAATATTATAATTTTTTGAGAACATTAATAACTATGTGAAGATAACATGACTTTCACAGTGTACTTCCAACAATTCTCAAGAGCTTTTTTGTTAGACTATTGGCGGATTTATGGGGAATGTTTTTCATTATTATTATCATTTTCGCCGTACATATTTTAATGTTACTTAAAAAACCAACAATGGAAATTTATCGAGTTTTTAGACAATGTTTTCTCTCACTAACATGAGCTTCTTTCGTGATTCTTTGGTAGTATTATATAACCAGAGTTGTTTGTCATACAGAATAGTTGATTAAGGGTTTTCTCATGAAGGAATATAATTACTTTCTTAAGTTTTCTGTCATTTTCGTTCTTCTGGGTAATGTATTAATGCAATATTATTAGATGTATGTATTGATAAAGCTATTTGAGTATTTTGAAGTAGTCAATATGTTTTATTCAACATAACAACCGTCTTCGCTTTTTTATCCATCGAAATAATTTTTTTCAAATTTTTTTTTATTTGACTCATTGCGAAATTTATACACTGCCAGTTACTCCAAAGATTGGCTTTTCAAACGGCTTCTTTTAGATGCGTCATAGTTAATGTAATTATTAAAACGCTTGTGACTTAGAATTATTAAAGATTTGTGCCCGTCATGAAATAATGATGTTTAATTTCTTAACTATTTTACATTGATAATAATAAGTTAATCAATCATTGGCGAAAGTTTACGAAGGAAGGAAGCCCTCACTTTTGTGTCAAGGCTATGTGCATCATGTAGATCCTAGTGAGCGATGAATATTCTAAAAAAAGTTTGGACTCTTAGCTTATAGCTGCAGAGATTTTGTATTTTTTATGGTACTCTTTGAATCAATGTCACGATCCATCTCAGAAACACAAGGAAAATTCATGTTCGAATATCTGACTTGAAACTTTTCTCAGTGATAGGCTTTATCGAAAATAGTTTATAGTGGAAGTTTTAGATCTTTTTGTTGTGTTTATCCTGAGACAGAGTTATGATAAAAGCATTTTTTTAACATTATTCATATCTATCGACAGATTCGATATTCCTTTTTCAGCATAGGAACACATCAAAAGGTTTGTAATTTTCACAATGGATTATTCTCAAAAAGTCGTATCCCCGTGCAAAACTTCAAGTTGAAATTCAAAAAGGAGTTTTCCTGAGAAGGACTACGGCGTTGGCTTGAAAAATACTCCAAAAAATGCAGTATCTCTACAGCAAAACGTTAAGGGTTTGAAATGTTTTCCGGATATTTTTAGCTCATTAGGCTCTACAAAATGTGTATAGCTCCGATTAAAAAAGCGAATAATCATTTGGAAAACTCCTTCCCTCGTAAGTATAAATTCGTTGTGAAAGTCAGTTTCGCAAACTTCTTTCCAAATATTTCGCTAATCGAAGTGCAATATAAGATATTTGTGTAATTGAAAAAACCATCCAAATGTTAAAACCAAGAAAATTGAACCAAGAAAAGTATCGATGAATGTGTACCATTGGCCATAATTCAGCACTTAACGCAGGAAAACGTGACGCGCATAAATTTCAAGAGTAGGAGTGCTGCATCCCTCCCCCCTAATATTACGACCTTGATTAGTACTAAGGTTCAATAGGAACATCATTTATCTGTATCTAAACGTAGTCTTTTTTAATATTGTATAAAAATGTTAATCTAGAATTCATATGATTTTTAGCGTCAGTTTTTCATGAGGTATGAGAGCTTCATATTGAAATCTTTATTAACATGTCTTAAAAATCCACAGCTATTCATAAAAAAAAAAAAGATTTTAACTTGAATAAATCATAATATTCATCGTTCAAAGCAACAAACGAAACTTTGGTTTCGTATTGGCTATAGTTTGAAGTTTTGTTTTACTTGTCATTGACAAGTGACAATTATTTAAATAAACTGTTTTTAATGATTGATTTTGTTCAAGCATATTTATAAGATAATTCAAACATGAATCATTTATCAATCGATTATTTTCCAAATCTAAATATTTAAGAGTTGTATTATAATAAATAAGTGCTAAAGCTAACGTTTTTACACCCTGATCACTTATTCGATTATTTGATAACCATAAACCAGTAACGGATGTATTTGTTTTGAGCATTGCAGCCAAATATTCTACACTATTATCAGTTAAATCAGTTGATTCAAGATCAAGCCATTTAAGAACTGAGTTATTTAATGAAAGTTTTTCTGCAATATGTAGAATACCGATTTCTGATAAAGAATTGCTATGAAGAGAAAGCATTTTTAATGTTGTATTATTTGTTAAACTTTCAGCAAGTTGTATAACACCTTGAGAATTAATTTGATTATGTCCTAAATCAAGAATTTTACATTTTTTGTTTATGATTGCCGAATTAATAACTATTGAAATATCAGTATCTGTCAAATGTTTATTACTTAATGATATTGTAGAATAAAATGGATATTGATTAATTAAATTTTCAATTTTTATACTATGCGAATTAATAAATTCTAAACATAATGTAATTAATAGAGATAGAATTATTTGTTTAAATTCTAACTTACTTGATGTTATTTTATTTTCTTGAACTTGATGATTGAATAATTTTCGATTTGAATAATAGATACAATTCATTTGATGAGATTGTAAATCTATTCGTTGTCCTTTCCATGGACATTTAATATCAGCAGTTGAACATGATACAATTACTTTTGAACATTGTTTATCTATATGATAATCAAAACGTTTTCGTTTTATATGTTTTTGTTGACATAATCTACATTTAACTTGAAGTTGATCAAGTTTATTAAGGATATTTTGATTAATTACAGATTTTAAATTGTTCTCGATTAATATTTCACGACAAATTGGACATGATAAATCTTTTTTTAACCATAATTTAATACAATCAACACAAAATATATGTTCACATAATGTTGATATTGGCTCGTCGAATGGATTTAAACAAATAGCACAAATTAGTTCGGAATCAACAGATGATTCATTTTCATATTCATATTCATTATTATGCGCCATATGTATAAATAATTGATAATAATAAACTATTTTTATTATTTGAAAAGAGATAATAATTTTATTAAAATATAAAACAACAATTTGTCTTAAGAAGAAACACGTGTTTCTATGGCGTTGTTGGAATATAAATAAAAATATAAAATGTATATTTAGTTGCATATTTTTCTTTTTATACTTCCTTTTCTTTTCATACAGGTAAGTATCCATCAAGTTTTTTTTTCCTAATTGATATGCGTATCTACCTTTACATAATTGCCTTCTTTTCTTTGACGTCTAATATTAATTAATATGGCCATTAGCTATCTGTTCATCAAAGAAAATTTAGTTCATAACAGATAGCAATTAGTTACTTTACATATTCTTTGAACTTAGTGTAGACTAAATAACATCGACTTTTATGAAATTGAAGAAATAATCTACAGTTGTAATTGTTTTGACAATTAGTAGACAATCAATTAGTTTTATTCATACGAACCAATACAAAGACAGGTGAATGACTCATTTGATAGACACATTGAAACGAGTGACAACATTGAAATTCAATTTATATTTAGATATACTTGAACTGCTCACTAGTATACTTTGTCAATCTCACTCTATGTTTTCGAAGAAAATAGAGACTGTAAGTTTAAATCGAGGATTTTGTGACTACCTCCTAGGTCCTGGCTACCAGTAGTGGGAAGAGGGAAACCAAAGATCAGTGGACACGTTTTTCTGACAACGAAAAAAAGGCGCATCAGTAATAGTATTGATTAGATCATTTTGCAACTTTTTAGAATTTTCCAAAGAATTTTATGAATCTAAAATTTGTACCGTACATGTTAACTACTCGGATCAAACAATCAGAGGATAAGATCTTACAAGATCGTACCTCTAATCTTGTAAGATCGAATAAAAATCGTACAAAAAAATCACAATCTCAGAAATCTTACATTAGATTGTACTTTAAGATTCCTGAAAGATCTTACGGTTACATAAGATTTCCTATAATCTTATAGTAATATCTAACAAGACAGCAAGATCTTTCAAGAATCTTATAGTACGATCTGATGTAAGATTTTTGAGACTGCAATTTTTTGTACGATTTCTTCTGGTGTGCAAGATCTTACGTCTGATTTTCTTCCCTGGAATTATCAAATTTTAGATTCTACATAATTTCTATAATAAGCACTCCATAAAAAAGGTCTTTCTAGAAATTATATTCATTAATATGACAATAAGAAGGCCCTAGCTCATAAATAAGTGGAAAGTTTACATATTACAAAAATTTCGAAATGTCTTTCTATACATTATGCGAACTTATTTACCTATTGCTATAATAATAATAAGAAGAACCTACTCTATGAATTATTGGAAACTTTAGAAATTGCAGGAAAATTTCTGAATTTACCGACATTTTCTGGTAATTTCTGAAATTTCTCAGTAATTTCTAAAATCTTCAATAATTCAAGAGATACGGTCTTCTTTCTTATTGTCATATTAATGATTACAATTTCTAGAAATAACCTTTCTGCGAAGCACTTTTTATGGAAATTATGTGGACATTGGTCAGTAGCGTCTGAATAACTCTAGAAATTACCTGAAAATTTTGTTATTGTGTAAGAGTTATCATAGAAATTCCTGGAAAATTTACATTTGATTTTGTTGATATCTCGAAGAAATTTCCTAGAAAGTGGTGTACTTTCGAACAGATCGTTCCGATTGCTTTAACGGTAATTTTCAAACTTTCTAGTTTGTATGGTCTTTCTGTCATATTAGTTCAAAACAATATTAAAACATTTCTTAGATAATACTTATAAGACGCAGTGAGACGAACTATGGTTTTTTTTATACTAGATTGTTTCTTATCTAATGTGTCACTCTAGACTGTACGTTTCCAGGTGTTGTGTAGAGCACACGATGATAACCAGTGTTTTTGTAAATAAGAACATTTCTGTAGATTTACATCGACCTTTATTTTTCATAAAGATATACTTAACACATTCGTGGTGAGTTGATTCTTTTAGAAAATAGCTTTAACAAATTCATTTTCATGCGCATTCACCTTCTGATAATTGTACTAGTGGGATTTTTCAGTATGTGCTGCTAGTTCTTTTTCTTTTTCATGTTGGTATTATTACATAGTCGGTCTTTTACGTCGAACGGAATAATTATTCGAATTTGCTTTTCTCTTTCTTATGTATTGCGCAGTAGGAATGAGATAAACGAAATGAAGTTTCAACGTTTTGTCTTTTGCATTCTTTCGTAATGTCATCTTTGACTCTTTTCTCTTGGATGTATAAAAACAATTAAAATTTTACGATGATTTACGTGCCGTTTGAAAAACTGATATAGAAGATAGCGGTAACTCATTGAATAATGTGAGTGCTTTGGATGATGATTTTGCTAGAATGCAATTTGAATCTTCAAGCTTCGAGAAAGAAGTTGCCGATGATGACGTCGATTTACAAGTCTGGAATGAAATAGAATCAGAACCGGATGTCGAGTTTCAGGAGGATCATGGAATCATCGAAGAAGTAACGCCAACATTGAAATATAATACAATCAATCGTATCGATTGTTATCGACATTTTATCACTGACGAAACTGTTAGCCTCATAGTTCGCAAAACTAATCGATATGCGGAACAACACTTACAAACCCAGAAGCCCACCAGACGATCAAAAACTTTTCAATGGGAGCCAGCTACTAACAAGTTGTACTCAGTTACAATGATGAGAAACAAGCTACAGATTTATCTGATCAGTTATCAGCATACTAAACATGCCTCAGACGATCTATAAAATGGTATCAAAAGGTGGCATTTAAATTAATATTTGGAACAGCAACAGTTAATGCCTATTTTATTTACAAGGAAAACTATGACATAAGCGATATGACCATTCTACAGTTGTGTGAAAGTCTTATACGATCTTTACTCCTGAGTATGCCATTCAAGAAGCTGAAACCTGGTCTGAGACAATAATCAACAAGCCATTCGAAGCGCAAACTCGCTGATCATAAGTTCAAAGAAAAGGAAGGATCTGCGTGCATCGTCCCAAGACGCTGTGCTGGCTGCTATGAGAAAAGCAAGAAACAACAATCAAAAGAAGCGAGTCATACAACAGCAAAGAAAATAAAAACCTTCCGTTCTGATAGTGACGAATTTTTTTTTCTTAATTGTTTTAACGAGAAACATCACGCTGTGCAATAAATGAATCAAATAATAGCGATAACAGAGCAGATGATACACTATATGTGACCTCATGCGTAAGAAAAAACAGGAAAAGAAAGTGTTTTCCTATTAAATTTCTTGTTAAAATATAGTGAGATTCACCGGTGGGTCTGGTGGCCGCGAATATGTTAAAATCTAGAGTATGGAAACGTGGACGTATGTTTGACTTTGACATGTGCATCACAGTAAATCGAAATTTTGCCACCTGATTTTTAACAATTTGTTCGATTTCCGCAGGACCTATTGAAATTACAGGATTTCACTTATATTCTCGCTTCATTCCACTGTAGCTCATCAGTAAAACGGAATTTTGATAGTCTTTTTTATTGTGCAGATTCTAGCGGACATTGAACAAATTATCGAAACTTAAGTGGCAAAATTTTGGCTCATCGCTGATTGGATGCATGGTCATCAGTGGAGATAATATACATCTCTTCTGTGCATAGTATACTAAGACAAAATGTGTTTTCCTTGTCAGCTCACAAGACAAAGTCATTCGACGACTTGTTAGAGCATATTTATGAACATTCTGTTATTCAATTGCTTGAAGATAATTATACACATCAATGATTCAGATTATAATGAAAGTATGAAAATATGAAAATAAAACATTATCATTTTTAGAAACAAATGATGAACAATATGATTCAAAAAAACTTCGCATGATACTTGCAAGACTATCTCGAACAAGAGAGGGCTCTGATTGGTCTCTTCGAATCTTGAAAATTTTTCTATTCTGGAAAAATAAGAACCTTGAATAAGTTCGATTAAAAAAATCATCCTTTTGGTCAAATTTTTCTACATAAATTTGTTTTTGCTTGATACAAATCAAGAATTTATTTCTTGTTGTCAATGAAGTAAACATGATAATATTTTCAAGCAATAAAATCGGGAAGAAAAATAAAACAATCAGGTTTTTGCTATACTTTTCTATCAGGTTAGTAAAACAAGAATTTATCAAGTTGTTTGGTAATAATAAAAAAAAACAAGACCACATTAGCATCACTTGAACTGGAAAAGATAAGCTAAATAAATGATGTATAACAAGACATGACATTTATTAGATGTTATAAAGATATGCTGCTACTTAGAAAGCAAATGCATGACAAAAATACGGTAATATACGCATGTCATGTATGATTAATGTATAAAACTACTGTATATATTCGTCGATTATAAACTTTAAAAGCAAAGATAAATAATCCAGATATTTAAAGTATTTTGCAACAGTTCTTATTCTTTACGAATTTTATCAGAATATATCCAAGCTTACGTTGTGATTGTTCACGATAATCATTAGAAATGCAACTTCTTCTTTCCATCAGTATAGGATTTGTTGTCTATATAATTAACTTTCATAGTACATTAGCTTTACCACCAGTAGGAACATTATGAATATTTAAGAATTAAGAAAATTTTTTTTTTAATCTAGAATTATGATGATGTATCAAAAGACAACACACATTTCAATGAAGAAATACCAACATTGGTAAGTATTATAGATATTCAATTTTCTTTATAACTAATGTTAGATGAATTTTTTTTCAAGGAAAATTCTCAACCATCAGCAAAATTTAATCCCGAACATATAGGTAAATCTAATTGTATGAAGTTTTTATCGAATAATATTTTTTGTTTTATTTTAGGAGGTTATTATCAAGGTGATATGATCATTCCTGAAGAGATATCAGTAAGAATTTTTATACATTAATAATACATATTAATTTCACTAATATACAAAGCGTGGAGCTGCTCACAGACCATTATGGCAACGATGGCCTAATGGAATAATACCTTATGATATGACATCATCGATTTGTTAGAATTTCATGAGTTTTATTTTCTTATTAAGAAATTTATTAATTTTAGCTGCCAATCATTCACAATTAATTGTTGATGCTATGCGACGTATGGAAAATCTAACACGAATAGGCAATGTTCAATGTATTAAATTTCGTCCCAAAACTAGTTCAGACGAAATTTTCATTACAATAAGAAATGGAACTGGTTGTTCAGCTCACGTATGCAACAAATATTTATTTAAAAAAAAAGGTCTAATCAATAACATATTTTTTTTTCAATTCAAGGTTGGATATCTTCAAAATTATACATTAAATCGTACTGTTACTTTAATGCATACACCACGTGCCACTTGTATGAGAACTGGAATTATTCAACATGAACTTCTTCATGTATTAGGTATTTAACACTGACTAAATTTAAATTGATAAATTTTCGTCTTTTTTTAATATAAGGTTTTTTTCATGAACAATCTCGTCCTGATCGTGATGATTATGTTTCAATTCAATGGAACAATATTATAAATGGTAATTTATACTATTTTTATAATAATAAATGTTCGAACGATAAAATTTATTTCAAACTAGGTACTGAGTTCAATTTTCAGAAATATAATCTAACAGATATTGATACTCTGAATACATCATATGATTATGGATCTGTTATGCATTATGACGCAGATGCTTTTAGTTCCAATGGTTTACCGACAATTAGGGCTACGAGAAATGCTAGTGCAGTACTTGGACAACGTATTGGTATGAGTCCAATTGATATTCTTGAGGTTCAACGCTATTATCGATGTGATCGAACTTCATCATCAATAGCTATTCGAACAAATACAATATTAATTAGTTCAATTATTATTATAGAAATTACTTTAATATTTTTATTCAACTCTGCCATCTTATTAGAAAGTATTATTTGAAATTTGATAGTATTTTGAACCTCATAAAGAAATATATTTATTAATGAATATTGACATTTGAATAAGATTTCATTTTTACAATAGTTTTTTTTCTTTGTTTTGCTTGGTGCTAAAGAAATTAGTTACAATTTAATAAACAATAGTTAGAAATCAATATGAAAATGATTACGTTCAACTTCTAATTATATTTACCGATGTGCGGGTATCAGTGTGAGGATGTGAATGTGACTCTTCTTTTTGTTCACATCCACACCTCGTATATATATTGCTTTTCTGACATGTGTATATTGTTAAAAATTAAAATATCTCTTTATTATTAAACTTATCATACCGAAAGATTGTTGTGAGGTTGTAAATAAACAGCTGAGAAAAAAGTGTTAAACCTATCAATGAATATTCAACTATATAGTATACGTCTGCTTCATTTGATTAGACATTCTTAAATAGCATTTCTATTTAAAACGAATAGATGGATATGATTGTAACTTCTGAACTAATATCCTTTTCTTTTGTAGGTATCTAACTTATTTGAGTTAATTGTCAGTTTCACGTAACATTATTAAGTGAACAACACATTTACGCTTGAAAGTTCGAATCTTTGTACTTTTGCTCGGGATTTCTCGGCTATTTTTCATAGTCGACAATATTCGTTCAGTCTTTATTTGACTTGATCGCACTCAGCTGTTGCTCGACGGCTGTCCAAAGAGAATAATGAGAACTGTCGTTCAGTAACAAAAAAGGCGAAAGTGATAATTAGTATTTTACCATGCTGTTTTTGAATAAAATCACAACTGCCGAACTGTAATGGCATATATTTCAACTTTTTTCTGTTTTGGATAGTTTCTTTTTGTTTTTTTCAATGCATTTGTGATCTAGAGAACAAATCGAGAAAATGCATCTCTATAGAATTTGATTCTATCTACTTTGTCGCATAATGAATTCGGATACGATTCGATTTTGTTCTCTGTACTCCATTCTCATTTATGTTTGGTCAGTTGCTTCATGAATTATTTGAGAAATGAGCATTAAATAATACTTTTCATCACTTTTCTTTTTTGAAGTGAAGAAAGACCAGTCTTAGTGATGATCTTTTAAATGCTATTGCTCACTCACCGTTTCTCAACGAGAAAAAAAAAGAACAGTATGCAAAGGCATCATTACCAAAACAACTTTTTCCGATTTAAATAAGAGAAAATGACCAAATTTAAGGAAAACATCAAGAGTAAAACAAGTTGTTCTCCAGTGGAAAAACTTGTTTTGATCGTGATGCTTTTGATAGTTTTGCTGACTTTTCGAGTTTTGTAGGAAATAGAACTTGGTTAAGGAATGTTGATATCCAGAATAGATTAAAATTACTATTTTCGATGTTTTCAGCAATGAAACTTCTGTTTGAGTCTTTGTTTCATGAGCTATTTGCAAAGTTGGCATCAAATAATACTGTTGTTACTTAAGTTGACTATTTGATTTTATGGAAAAAAAGAATTTTTCTAAAGGCAGGTTTGTGTTCGGCATAGTTTGAAACTACTTTTTCTGTTGTTTGGCGGATTAAAATTCATGTTCTAGTGCTTCCTTCGTGTGTCTATGGTAAAACCGTGGATATAAAAAGTGGTCTCTATGATCATTTCCTTCTCGAGGCTGGAGCTGTATATTTTTCTTACGAGGGAACCCCACCAACTGATTAAAAGCTTTAAGGCTCATATTTACACCTTAAGTAATACTTAGTGAGACTAGATGAATCCTAAAAGGATTTTCTTGAATGGGCCTATTTGACTAAAGATAGAAGGTTCCCAAGTGTGAAATCTACACTATGAAAAGGTCAAAAGTCATCGAGCGGAGTTTATCATGGGCAAAAGAATTCTGGAACCTTCTAAGGCGTTGTGGAATCTTCTATAGCTCTCAGGTACTCTGTAAAAGACTCCACAACGCCTTAGAAGGTCCCAGAATTCTTTTGCCCATGATAAATTCCGCTCGATGATTTTTGATCTTTTTACAGTGTAGATTTCACACTTGGGAACCTTCTCGCCTTAGTCAAAATAGGCCCATTCAAGGAAATCCTTTTAGGATTCATCTAGTCTCACTAAACACTATTTATGGCGTAAATATGAGACTTAAAGCTTTTAATCAGTTGATGGAGTTCCCTCGTGAGGAGCGTGGACCTGTCACTATCGTATTTCATCAGCGAAGAAATGCGTTTAAAATCTTTGAAAACTTTTTAAACGTAGTACATATTTCTCATTGCTTACGAAAAAACTCACATATTATTTTTGTTCATACACTTTTGGCATGGTCGAAACTTCTCAAAAGTTGCTGGGCTCGAATTGAATTCGTATGAAATGAAATGATTGGCTTAACTCTGTGCAAATAAAGAAAATGAATAAAAATGAAAATATTGTATGTTAAATCAAATTTTACTCATTTTACGATGTGTCAATCATTTAAAGGATCATTTAATTGATTTAAAACACATTATTGTCAGTTTTATTAATTTTTTTCATTTAATTTGTCCATTTATATTAATTATGTTAGTCTATGCAAATAGTGAACGTATGAATCAAATAGAAAGAATCGGATGGAGAAGCTTATGATAGTTAAATATAACTGATCTTTTGTATAACCTATCTACCATCCTTTTATTCAAAAGATAAAATTGATGCGCCATTGGCATATAAAACATTATATCTTCTCTTGTGTCAATAAAAAACACGTTTCTTGATACTTTACCTTGCGTTTTTTTCTCGTTTTGCTCCGTCATCGTCAAGGATCATTTATATGCAGCTTGACAATAATATTTATCATTACTATCGTGCATGTCTTATTCTCGAGAACAATAACAATACAATGCAACTGCTCTGTTTACTAGTTCTATTTATTGGTTTCTTTGGTGAGTTCAGATCGTCAGAATAGAATATTATAGGAAGATAAATGTTTTTTCATTTCAGAAAGTCAAATCAGCCAAGCAACAACATCGTGGAATGAAACCTATCCGAAAGGTCAAGTAACTCGGGTAAAAAATGTCGATGTCTATACGGTTGGTAGTAACGCATATTCAACTAATGATCTATCGGTTATTGTAATCTATGATATCTTTGGATTCAATATAAGTCAAACGCGTGTATTTTGTGATCGTTTCTCCGCGCAATACAAAGTGCAAGTGGCTATGCCCGACTTCTTTCGCGGTAAAACAGCATCATTACACATAAACAATCTTACCACAGTATTGTCTGTAATTGGTAACTGGTCTCAAGTATCATCTGATCTTAGCGATGTTGCTTCTTGGCTTAAAGGTACATCACCGTCTCATCGCATTGCTCTAATCGGTTTCTGTTGGGGCGGTCTACAAGTTGTTCGGGCCTGTTCAAATCTATCGACACTCTTTTTTACTGGCATTTCAATTCATGGTGCATGGTTGACAGAGGACGAAGTTCGTCAATTACAGCAACCCATGCTGTTCATTGCTGCCGGTGATGATCCGCCATTGAAGCCCGATATTTCGAGTGTCATTGAAAAATGGACAAGTCCAAGAGTAGCTAATCAATGTCAATATGAAACGTATTCAAACATGAAACATGGATTTGTATCGGCTGGCGCTAATTATTCGAATCCTGAGAATGTTATAGCTATCGATGATGTACATGAAAAAGTGAGAAATTTTCTGGATCGAATATCTCGAAATTCAGCATCGAGCACACATCACTCTATGCGTTGTTTTTCTGTTTTTCTCTTTCTATTTCTTCTTAATATAATATAACAGCAATAAATAATTGCATGGGACAAGAACATATATAATGGCGATGATAAAGGAGATGAAGTAAGTATTGGCAACCCAGCTACAAGTCACAGTTTCTACATTTTATACTAATTAATTGATCTGATGATGGTAGCATCACTTTGACCAATGCGGACCAAGCTCGACAAGGCGTACGTATACATGGATGATTAAGAAGAAAACCGTAGAACATGTTTGATGAAATATTTCCCGATGTCAATCGATACGAACAGTTATCTATACTGATTTTGCATGTATAATGTCGTACCATCTATTCAATAGTGGCCAATGAAACATCAGTAGGCAATTGTGATATGAGTTTGGTAGTCAGAACTTTCGTTTCTTTTTACATTCAGCATTTTTTTTTATCATTGAAGATCAAGATGCACAGTAATAGATATTAATTAGTCTAGAACTAGAGTATTCATGTGTCTGATTTCATATATTGATCTATGAGTCTTTTCAAATATACATTAGCAGATAATGACGATTAGAATATGAAATACAGGGAGAAAGAGAGAGAAACACGTTCGCAATTAAACTTGATTGTACACTTTATGAAACATAAAGGTCCAGACATCATCAAAAGATGGAAAGACAATGCGTTACTATGACTACGAGTACATATACACGAATCTCTCTATTTTCAATGAGGATGATCTAAATATTCCATATTGCTTCTCGTTCTTGCATACACAGGTGAACAAATACCTTTGGAAAAGTGCTATTCTTTTGAAAACCCATTGATTGGTAAAAATTCGCACCAGACGATGTGGCAATTAGATACGCCTTCCAAGATTGTTGGTATCGGTTAGCGTCAACAGATAGCATTCTATGACGCTCACTCTTTATATTTTTTGTCGTTGGTTTTTCTCATCCTCTTCGATGTCCTTCTTCGATCTCTCTATTGACCTCTTCTCCTCTTATTGTTGTTTTTTTTTTCGTTCAACTTCATCATTATTATATTATACTATTATATTATTATTATTATCATTGGTTTTTGCTTATTTTTTTTCAAAATATAATAGATTATCCACCTCATTTAATGCACAACTTTTGTCTGCATGTTTTTTCTTCTTCTATATATTATTGTATCCTATTTCTTTCTTTTTCTATCTTTTTCGTCGTATGTGTCTTTTTTTAACTTAGTTTTTTGTGTTTTTATTGTCGTTATCCTAAAACATTATACTAAAGTACAGATTAAATGAATAACAACAATGGTAGTTTTTTTTATTCGAGAATCTTCATCACTTAATTTGTTAAATCATCAAACTACGTTCGATACATCAATTTTAAAATCTACAAAAAAATTTAGAAGCTTCCAAGCAGAAAGAACCCAGGTAGTTTGAGAGACACTTCTTTGCAGTTAAAACTATATGTAATGTCACAACGTTTAAACTCTAATATAGTGATCAAAATCCCTGTTTTTCACAATAAATGATTTCGACTATAAAAAAATAAGAAATGTATTCCTGCTGTTTGAACTCTAGACTATAAATGTGCTAAGTAATGATTCGTTGAAGTTTAAACTAGTTCACCATTTTTAATTAAATGAAATTTTTCTTGACACAATGATATCGTCTCATTCATCTAAGATAGACAAGTCTCTTGGATAAAACATCATCGTTTTACATATGATCTACTTGTGCACTGAATCTCTTTGATCTGATAATAAACAACAGATGTTTATTTTTCGTCGATATCCTATTGAATTCCAACAAATAGGTCTTATTGATTTTTTAAAAATCGATACGTTTGATATCTAACGAGTCGACAAGTATATGTTAACAAATGAAATTTTACCCATTTTTAAAATATAACATATAAAATAGAATTAGTCTATAGAGTTTCCTAACGTTTTATTTTTCTAAACTTTTGATTCATATAAGTGTCAATTTTAACGAAATATGAACTAGGTCAGAAAACATAATTACCTGACATATATATTCACTAAATCTCATTATGTTACTTACGCTCAGTAACGCCGATCTAGGAATGAAAATTTTTTCTATCGTGAATTACTAGAAAATTGACATTTATATATATCAAAAGTTTTGAAGGATGAAAAATTTGAAAACTGTACAAAATATTTCTATTTATATAATGTTTTACACCCGGAGAAAGTTTCATTTGTTTAGATAAATATGTCTAGTAGCTAGGAATTAAACGTTTCTATTTTCCAAAAATAAATGAGAATTACTCGTTGAAATTCGATGAGATATCCACAAAAAATGGCAGTACATCTTCTTCTGACTCATTCATTGTCCCTTCGATATTTTTTCTATATTCCTCACGAATAGTTCAAATTTTGTCGATTGCTTCGGGATAATGCATTTGTCTTGTATCTGAGAAATATTCTATCGAAATCTTCTCAGACTTTGTTACTAACTATAAAATCTAGATTATTCTAAACACCTATGAAAAAAAAGTAAAGTCTCTTATAAAATTTTCATTAATTACAATGCTATTGAGTAATGAAAGAAAAAGAATACAAGTTAATCTGTTAGCATTTAGAATGAGCACAGGAATGAAACAGTTTGATGTTTCAGAGAGACTCTGCCAGATCACCATCCAAGTCTCTTCGCACTAAATTTTGTTAAAAAATTTTTAAGGTCAAATCAGAGATCATATTGTGAACCTTATGCATCCAAAATATTAGTTTTTAAGAGCTTTCAGAAACTAAATTCGTTTTTTTTTGGAATATAATGAATCGACGAGATGAGAGGCGAATTATTAGCAAAAGGACGATCACTAAGCATAGATCCTCGTTCCCTTGTAAAGTCACGATCAATCAATAAAACTTATTGCAAAGACTATTGGTATAGCGCGTTTCGTAGAGAATTTCTTTCTACATTTTTTGAGACCTTCTCTGACTCAAAGGCACGACCAGGGACAGAATAAATTTAAAAAAACCCATCAATATGTGAAAAAGCCATTTTTTAATTTTTATGGCCTAACTACAAATATTGAACGATTGTGGTCTTCGGCATTTTTCAAAAGTACCTCAGGAAAACCTAATATCTTGGATGCATAAACTTCACGATATAATCGTTCATTTGAGCTAAGAAAATTCAAAAAAAAATTGCACCAGGCAGTCCTATGTAAGCTTGGTCGATCCTCTGGCAGAGCCTCTCTTAAGAATGAGTCAGCGAGCTCACGGAAAAAAACAAAAAACTCTTGGAGAACAAAAATAGATAAAAAAAAAGGAAATACATGTCCAAATAGAGAAAACTAAAATCGCGAAGATAAAAACTGTGAAGTAAAAATAGGGGAAAGAAGCAAAGGTGCATAATAGTGAAGAACTAAATGGCGAAAGAATGAAAAAAGCGAAAAACAAGGAATATCGAAAGTACAAAATAGAAAATTTTAGAAAAACAAAACATCAAAACGAAGGGACAAATAACGAAAGATGAAATATTGAAAAGTGAAGTTAAAAGAAAACGGAAAGAGAAATAAAAGTAAGATTCAATCAGTTTCACTAAGTTATTCTAATTGAACTATGGCATTCATTTTGTATGTCTATCTCATCAATAGTTATCTTTGACTTAGATGAATACCTAAACATTCTATCTTTTCTGACTGCTAAACATGTTAAAGCTAAAAAATAATTTTAATTTATGTTAGAGCTTGTGTTGTGTTGCTTTATACTTTATGAACGGTCAATTATGTATATACTCAAATCAATATAGAAAGAACAATAGAAAAAACTGAGGCATAATATTAAATTGGAGAGTAATCATAAATGATGAATTTATATATTTTCACAATTTTATTTTTTCCCTATCATATATATTTACTGTTTCTTCTGTGCGCTCATGGAATAAATGAATGAATGTGCTTTTTGAATTGTTTTTCTTTCTTTTCTTTTCTAACTTTCTTTTTCTCCTCATTTCTTTTCGTTGCTAACTATATCTTTCTCTTTCTGACTTCATCTAACTTTATTTTTCTTTTTCTTTCTTCTCCTCTCGCTCGTATAATTAAGATTAAATACTAAGTAAGGAGACAAGCTAATTTCGACATTTATTGAAGTTTTGGTAGAAGAAAGCATGATTATAAGCATTTATTATCACTTATTACATAGCGAATGTCTAAATAACTGTTTCAAGGATTATTCCGAAAAACAATGATTTGAAACATTGAAGTGAACGTTAAAACGAAAGAAGGAATGATGCTCACTTTTTTTGTCGTTTATAAATGTTTTCTTCGACAGAATACCAAATTGAAACCGTATAAACGACATTTTAACTGTTTCAGAACTGCCTCGAAATGGAGTTTCATCGATTTTAATCGAATATTCTCACCAAAGCAGCCCTGTTTTCTGTGAAAGAAAATCAAATGTTTTTATTTATAATCGAAAATAATGGTGGTTATCGCTCAAAATTTTTCGCGTGGATACAACGATATAAGATATTCACCGCGAAAAACACTCTTTCGCCATTCGGGTAATTTAATAACGAAGTACTATAAGAATTGAAATGCTTGTCTCGTCGAATAGAATACGAAAACTATCTCGTTTTCAATCGAAGACAAAAACAAACAGACTCACACGGTCACTTCATGATCCATATGAATGATCAATCTGACGAGCATTTTTTTCGAGGAGTTCTTGTGAAGTACCGAATGGTAAAAGAAGGTACTAGATGAAAAAAAAAAGAATTTGGAAGAAAACATCATCTGATTACACTTGGAATAAGGATCTATAGTCGAAGAAGAACGTAAAAAACACTTCGAATTTATTTATATTGATGACTGTTTTCATCTTTCTAGCCTCTTCACCCTCCATGTATCGGACGTCACGAATATACTGTATGTTCAAGTCTTTCAAAAGAAGGCAGAAAACGTTGTGTACGAAGGCAAAGAATCAATCCAATTGACCAGGTGGCGCCCGGAAAGAAGTTTGCATAGGAAAACAAGATTACACGAGTAAGTTTTTGCTTTCTTCTTCTTTTTTCCTCTTGTAGAAGTCTCCTTCTGATGTTTCTTTAGGATGTTGGAAAGGCCGAAGTGTTCTGCTTCACATTTGATTGCATGAATCTTCGAACAAAGACTCACAAATAGAAGGTAGTGAAAGAAAAGCTCAAGATATATCTCCGTTATGACTGCCAGTCCTGTCGGCATATTCGGAAGCATACGGGCAGGGGTGGAGAACACTACCGCAATCAAAAGAATACTTTCTATTATCTCATCATCAAAGTCGAGCCTGAAATGCCGGAGAAGAAGCGGCAAAGGTATGCATCAGTATCCAGCGACAAAAACTGACATGGGAAGAGATCAACAGGGCCATGCCTTCACTTAAGCATGCGTTATCCTCAGCATCAAAATTCATCCTTCAAGTGTACGCTCAGGTGCTCGATGCTCTTGTCTTCCACAATATCAGGTTCAAGGCGGAATTCAACTACTTCGAACGTCATTTTTATGAAAAGACCCATGATACGACAGAGCACAACTTATAAGCAGATCTTTTCTGGGAGATTGATCTGTAGGACTGAGAGAGGCCATTAATAGTCGTCATCGAGGCTCAAGGTTAGTAAGACTCTTTGTCTTAACATTTCCAAAGGACAATTTTCGATGCATATGTGTTTCTTTCTGCTCACAGGTATTCAACATCGTTCTCTCCTTCGACAACATCTGTGCAACGTCGAGAAACATATCAATCAACACTATACTGATCTAGTTGATTCGAATCGCTCTCTGTTTCTTGGCATCCTTCAAGAGAATAACACAACGCTACTTCAACAAGATCTGGCGAAACTGCTGATGAGCAGAAAGACGACCGGGCGACCATTCTCATGTGTCTTGAGGAAATCGATCTGAAGCTTCACGACTTCAAGCCCATTAAAAATTTAACGATCGATTCACATCAGTCGCCAATCAGGTCCTTTATCACCTTATCAAACAAAGAGCTTTAGTCTGAACAGATAAGCGTTTCAATTTATTTCTCTTGACATCTCATCAAGTTCAAGGCGCATCAGTTTTTGTCTTTATAGAAGTTCGTCAAGAAACGAGATCATTCAGACGAATCAATCTCAGGCGACCAATCTTCAATACCTAAAAAGAAGAAGACGAACTATAATGGCAGTGACGAAATGATCTCGTAGAATTTTAATACGCAGAAAGATTCGGCACATTCACCACCAGTTGCAATTAGTCTTCTTCTTATTTTTATTTTTATTCTTGTTATTGTTATTTATTTTATTATTATTCTAGTTATTGTTTAATAGGTTTATTCTTCTGTTCTTTTTTCCTTATTTTGTCAATAGATGATGATGACTACTGTAATTTAAATAGACAAAGTGCGGTGAATATTAACCGGACTTTAAAAAAAGTAAAAGAGTGCTCAGATCAAAGATGCCGATGCTCGAATGTCAATGAGAACGATCCAACGTCTGGATTATCAAGTTTACTTCAATAATCTAAGTAACGATTATAATGAGTACGGTTCGATCAACAATTGAAAATTACCATTTTGTCAGATCGGACAAAATAATTTTTTTCTGAAAAATGATCTTAAGAAAATACCTTACACGGTGCTTAGATAATTACAGAGGATTTCCCAAACGATTTAAGAAAGTAGTTTTCCCGTCTCTAAATGCTAATTCAGTTATGTAAAGAAAATAGTCGTTGTTCAAAATCACACAACAAAGATAGTCGGGACAGACTAGTAATTCTTTACGTTTTCCCTATTTCTGAGATTTTAAAAAAATGTCTAATTTTACAAGTTTTGTAAAGAAAAACTTTTCTAGAAAATAAGACTACTTCGCTCAACTTTAAAAAACGGACCTCTCTTGAAACGAAAAGATACAACACATTTTCAAGTTGTCTCGACTCATCTGAAATACCTTTTGAACGCATAGATAGTTATTTTCAACCTTAAAAGATATTCTAAGTAATGCACAATGTAATTACTTTTCGAATGAGACGTCATTCAGAATTATCTGTCTTAACATGGTCAACTAAGGACTCAAAAAACCAAAGCCTTTATTTTTTCTAGCTGAGCTAAGTTCAACACGGTCTAATGCGAAAAGAGAACATCGAAAATTCGTGGAACTTTTGATTTCGAAATTTTTCAATGTGCTCTATTGATTGAGCATAGTATGAGCAAAATCTTTATTCTCACCACATCAGATGTCTATAGCGTGGTACTGTATCCTCTCATGATTCAACTTTTATGTAGTATTTAAATCAGAAAGTAGCGTTCTAGAAATGTATTCATTAGGTACAGAACTTAATATCATTTCGATAGATCTACAGTCGTATAAAAAATGAAAAAAATTTAATTTTAGATTTTGCTGAATAAGTCTTTGTATATTTATTCGTAAAAAGTGACATACATGTTTTAAAAAATGAAAAATTAACTAAAAAAAAGATATTCTTTGATTATAATATCATCAATTAATTAATAATTATTTCATATTTAGTTGAAGGTAAGATTGTGGGTGTGAGGATGGCGATTTTATGTTCAACATTATTTCGGTGCACCCACACCTCACTGAACACCATTCTTACACTACATCCACATATCCATGCTCGAGATCGTTATTATTTTAGCAAGCTTGCCAATGCACCATAGAGGCGGTCTCATCGAATTTCATGAGTCGATCCTGTAGGGACTTCGTTCCAAACTCCTTTATGATGATGATGGCTACTTTATTTTACACCATATTTATCGTTAACAGGAATAATAAGAGAGAAGCTTCAGGACGCATTCGGTTCTTTTGTGGAATTTGTAATTCTCACGTTTCATATTGAAACTAATCAAATGAACGACAGATTTATCAATTGTTTGTTCTTGCAATCTTATTTTTGTTTACATCTCAACGACAACTGGACTATGAAATATTGATTCTAAAAACTATAACGGACAGATGTTTACTGAGTATATCTTTCGCTTCCTATTGCTGGGCGGAATGAATGAGTTAGCAAACAAATCTAGGAATTGTCGATTGCATACAATGCTCAATAGAGGTGTCATTTTTACTTTCTTTCTAAATAGAAAGGAAAGTTAATTGACTTTCAACTGTCCTTTCCCAAAAAGAAAGGAAAGAAAAGTCGAAAAACTTTCTTATTTGTTCTCGTGTTGTAAAAGAGAGAGCTAAGTTTCCTATGCTATTCTATAAAGAGAAAAGTAAAAAGAAAGTGAAACAAGTGAAATAAAAGTCAAAGAAAGCAAAAAGAAATTGAAAACTAAGGCTGTACAGCTCACACTTATGAGCATTCGTATGATCATGAACGTTTTTCCTGTTACGAATAGAGGAGGAAAGTTACAGCAGTTGTGTAAAGGCCATTAACTCGTTTGAACTATTCAACTTCTTCTTCGACCATTCAACTACGTAACGTTCAACTATTCTGAAGGTTTTCGCACTTGTTGGCATTTCATGACATCCACATCCACAACGCCAGGTGTGGGTGCCACGGAACACCAACAAACGCGAAAGCCTTCAAAACAGTCGAAAGTTGAATAGTCGAAGAAGTTGACTAGTTGAAACGAGTTAACGGCTTCTACACTACTAATTTAGCTATGATATGCATGAAGAATTTAAACGATTAAGTGAGAAAATTTCATATTAGACTAAATAATATCACAACTGACGTGCTAACCATAGGAAAAATACTGAATAATTAAAACACTCATTTTTAGTAACGATAGTCGATAAACGTGATAGAAAATTTTCTCCTTTTTTTTTTTATTCAAAATCAATAAAAATTTAGTATAGAAAAGTGAGCTTGACAATGTAAACTCGAAATTTCAAGTCTCATCCAATTAGTTGGGTACTGAGTAATTAATTATTAACTATTCAATAATTATATCATGTCGATCCTCTTCGATCATAGTTGAAGGAGTTTGCCAGTTATACATTATAAAACATGAACTATAAATGATTGATGACATGTGGACGGGAGAAAGTCAAGACGGAAACTTCGAGTTTACACAGTTTCAACTTCACTTTTCTTGTTCTAAAACGTTTTTTTTGGATAATATTTATTGAAGTTCTTCATGAATTCTTTCAAGTACTGCTTGTCTATTATTTAATTCTGTATCATTGGAAGGCAACTTGTCAATTGATTGTTGTATATGATCTATTGCTTCAGTTAATCGATTTAAATTTTCTAAACAAATTCCAATGTTAAAATGTGTTAAAGCTAAATCGGATTGATTCGATAACGATGTTTTTTCTTGAATATCAAGTTTTTTTTCATTATATTCAAGTGCTGTTTGATAATCATCATTTTCCGCATAAACCATTGCAAGAAGATCATATGTATTTATTAATGATGGATGTGTTGATGATAAATGTTCTAATTGAATATTTAATGCATATTGAATTTTTTCTAATGCTTCATGAAGTTTTTCTTGTTTATAAAATATTTTTCCAATATTATTATGTATATTTGATATTATGACATAATCATTTAAAGTTTCATTCGATTTTGTTGCAAGTGAAAGATTATAACATAAAAGTGCTTGTTTATAATTTTTTAAATTTGTATAAATTAATCCTAATTGATTATACACATATGTATATTTTGGATCAGATATATCTGGTACATTGATTTCATAAAGATCTTTTGCTTTATCGAATTCATTCATTTCAATCAATAATTCACCTAATTTCTCATAATCAATTAGATGATTGAATTTATTATGTTCGATGTGAATATAATGTGATATCAAATTTTCTTTTTCATTAATTAATGTTAAATCAACTTGCCAAATATTATTTTCTATTTGTTCAATGGATTCAATATGAAATATTGCTTTGAATGAAAATAGAATTTCATATTCAGCTTGATTAAAACTTCGTTTTTCTAATGAAGCATATGGACATGAATTATTTGTTGGATCAATTTGCATTCGAAATAAAACAGCAATTGGAAATCCATTTGATAGAGATCGTTGAGCAAATTCATAAGCAACATTTTGTTTAGTACTAGTTGAGAGGAAACCATTAAATGAAATAAGACCACCTTGATTTTGTTTTAATTCTTCGAAATATTCGATTTTCATTCTAGAAAATAAAAAAAAAGAAAACGTTGACAAACATTATTCAGAGAAACTTGTTCTACAATTGCACGACAAATAGAAAGTGACATTAAGATAATTTTAAAAAATCATTCATGAAGCAATAGGTAAAATTTTTACTGGTCAAAATTTTGGAAAAATAAATGCATTAGTAAACTATCGTTTTAATTTAATTGTTCACTTTATAAATGTTTTCACAGAAAATATTCCTATACGAGTTTCAAGTACTTAGGGCGATGTTTTAAATGATATATTATCCGATAATAGAATCTCTTTTAATAATAATGATATAAACAGAAGAAACATGAAGATTAAAATCTCGAAATTTACCAATGTTTTTTTAAGAAGTTTTAATAAACTATCAATTCATCCTATGTAACGTAACACAATTATACACAGTGATACATAGTATCTAGGGTTTGAATATGACTATCTTCTATATCGACACCCTAACTGTCATGTTTCTTCTGTTTATATCACTATTGTTAAAAGAGATAATATCATCGGATAATATACTATTCAAAACATTCGTCCTAAGTACTCGAAACTCATATAGATATAAATAGGTAAGAATCACTCTTTCTTTACATGTAAACTAATTTTTTTTGAGTATTCTGATGAAAATTGACTCAATAAATAGATACTTGAAGTTACCCGTAAAGTATTTGATCGAGTATTTCGTAAATATTCGATGTCTTGTAATGAAAATGTTTCTACAGGTTAGCTAATTGCAGCGGTGAGAAGCATCTCATTTTCAAATACTCAAGTATTCATCAAATACCTGTCACATATCGATAACAGAGTACCATAAAATTGATGCTTTCACTACGATAAGGCCTTAACAACAACGTTTATAGTAATGCTTCGTGATGTCATTTATATATAGAATGTGGATATAAGAACTATCAGCTAAGTGAATCTTCATATCAGCATTAATGAAAAATTTGATATATGAAAGATGAACAAGCAAAATATGAACCAAGAAATACTCATGGAATATTGCTGATGTCTTGGAAACAGTTATTATCCATTCCAAAAAAGAAGAATCGTCAGTATTTTTTGAATAACTTTTGATAGAAATAAGATAGAGTTGCGGTTTCCACTAGTCGAAAGTAGATACGATCATGCATCGAATCGTCTATTACAAATTTTTCTTCCGCATTTATCAGGAGGTTCTATTGAATTTCTACAATGGAATCGAGCTTTTACGATGGATTAGCAAAGCAAGTTTTCATGAAAATATTGCAGAAAAAGTCAAATTTCCCGCTAATTTGTCTCAAAAAATTGGGTCGAAGCTCATGATAAAATGTCAATAACTGCTGGACAACTGAAGAAAAAAATATGAAACTTGCACAATGTTGCAAGCCTTCGATTGGTGGTTCTAATACACTTCTGAAATTCGAAAATTCTTCGTGATGACTGAGCACAGTACATTGGTTTCTAAAACAGTAGATTGAAAACCTTCAAAAACCTTACTAGAACAATCTGTAATATACGATTTGATGTATCGTCATATTCACTTTCCAACGATGAAAACCGCAGGTCTCCATCTTATTTCTATCAAATGTTATTTAAAAACCACTCACGGTTCTTCTTTTTTGAAATGAATAATAGTTCTAATGTATGGATTATCATACATTTATTCTGATTAAATTAATACATCAAAGCTCGATTTGGTTCCCATTTATCATCATTGTCGTATATACAGGACAGGAATTAGAGAACACTTCATCAGTACAAGAAAAGCATCAAACGTCAAAATCTATACAGATTTTTCAACTTTGCTGTTCTCTACTTGGAATATGATAAGTTAAACATATATATAAGCAAAATGGATAGACAAATAAAGCATTAAATAGAGTTTTAATTTCTATGAAAACTAGTTCTTTTAACGATTTCTAAAGTATCTATTTCACAGAATATTCAGTTTTATACAACTTATAATATTTAAGACCTATCATTTGATGACAAAAACAAATGTAAATAATTCTTTACCCTTGACCACGAAATAAAGTTAATGTTGATCTTTGTTTTGTTATTGAATAATCTTCTTCTAATTGTTGATTAATATCACGAATAAAAAAGCCCATTTGAAAAAGAATTGTAATTTCTTTCATTCTAATTGCTCTATTAAGCATATGATAAGCAAAACAATCTTTGGTATACCAATGTAAAGCATCATTTGACGTATATTCATTTTCAAATTGTTTTATTAATTCTAACTCTTCGATATTTTCAGCATAAAGATTTTCACAATATTCAACTAAATCATGAATAGCATCTTCATCATATTCAATTTCAAGTAAATATTCTTTAAATAATTGATTTTGAATAAATTTTAATTGTTCTGAATTTAATTGTTTCATATCAATTAATGAAGTTGTTTGAAATGTATTTAAATCATTATCCCATTGTTTAAAATCAATTTTTAAACATTCACATATTATCGATATATCTGTATAAACACCTTTTATTTTTTTATATTTATCAATTAAATATTCATATTTGGAATTTTGTAGACAAAATATATAAATACCAGCAAGTTGAGCATAGGAATCAACTTGTTCAAGAATATTTTCACTAAGATTACCAGAAGCAATTAGAAAAATTTTTTCATTTTTTACTTCTTTAATCCATTGAATACATTTTTCTGGATCACTAAATGTTTTTATAGTACGTGCTATTTGACGTAATTGAATCTTTGACCTAATTGTATCATCATCGGTATTATCTACTGTTGCATCAAGCCAAGCAACAACTATATTCTCCATCGAACGATATTGTCGTATCGAATTTTTTTCAGATTGAGTTACTGATGGTTCTAAATATAAATTAAACTATTCGTTTAAATTCTTTGATCGAACCCGATAAGAAGGTATGGAAATGCTCTATGAACGCATATCTGTAAATGGCATATACTCAGTATTGTTTGAGACAAACAAAGAAAGGTTAATGTCATAACATAATGTAAAACCTTAAATTAACATACGTCTTCCAGAGTTGAAAAAAAATTACATTGAAGAAGGAAGTTCTCTAATGATTCAATCATTTTTGAGTCGAGACTATGTGCATTATGTAGATCTAAATGAGCTATGAATACTCTGAGAAAAGTTCGTCCGCTTTATTTATTGCTACGCAGATACCTCACTTTTATGGTATTTTTTAAATGAATGTCGTAGTAACAGAAAAATTGATTTTCGAATTTCGACTTGAAACTTTGCGTAGAGATTGGTCTTAATGAGAGTAGTTTTGGATCTTTTGATTTGCTTCTATCCTGAAATGAAAACATCAAATCTGCTGGTTTATATAAGTGATGTAAAAGACACGTTATTATCATAGTTGTATCTTAGGATAAGAACAGTGACAAGATCTGAAACATTCACAAAAAAAACTATTCTTGTTAAGGCCTGACTCTGTATAAAATTTCAAGTCGAAATTCGAAAATTAGTCTCTGTGCTAACATGGTATTTATTTAAAAAACACCGTAAAAGTGCAGTATCTTCGTAGCAATAAACAAAGAGCACGAGCTCTTTTCAGGATATTCATAGCTTATTTGGATCAAGTTAATGCACATTATTTCGACTCAAAAGTGATTAAACAATTGGAAGACTTCTCTCGTGAGAAAATTCAGCACAATAATTATTTTATATAATTCTCTTTTCATTTAGAACGACATTCGATTCTTAAGAAGATAATAACAAAAGAAAATTTCAACTTGTTAAAATTGTTTATTCTAGATCTTTCTCTTAATATTAGTGATTGATGAGAGATTTTAGTTATTCTTCCTCTCGTTGCATGTTTGATAGAAAATCCAGAAATGATTCGATATGATTTTTAGAAAAAAAAACAGCTTTAAAAGGTTGCGTAGAAATAAATGTTCAAGAAATCTCTAAAAAAAAACATGTTGAGATTACTTTCAGTAATTCTTAGTTTAATCGAATTTTAAGTACAAAACTTTTATCTTCTAATCTATAAATTATCAAACGAAAATTACATACCCTCTTTTTCTTCATTATGTTTCTTTTGTCTGGATGGTGACTTTGGTTTGCTATCATCATTACTTGAAGTAGTATCCGATTCGAGCAAATTATGAACGTAAGTGTCAACTGGTTGTTGTTGTTTTTCTATTGAAAATATCGATGAATGATGGGATTCAGATTCATTTTCAATAGAATGATGGGATTCAACTTCATTTTCAATAGAATGATGAGATTCAGATTCACTTTCAATAGAATGATGAGATTCAGATTTATTTTCAATGGAATGATGAGATTCAAATTCATTTTCAATAGAATGACGAGATTCAGATTCATGTTCAATAGAATGATGGCTACTTTCATTTTTATTCGATGATGATGATGATGATGATGTAGACGAGCGATGTTGTTTTTCTTGATAATTATCAGAAATCAATGAACGACCAAAGGTTTCGCTTTTAGATGAACTCGTTGACGAAAGACGAACGTCCTCGTTTTTGGGCCATTGATTATTGTCTTTACTTTCAGTAGAAGATCTTGATACTGTCGAGCTACTAGATGGTGGTCTCAGTGTCGTTGAACTACTAGATGATGGTCTCGATGTCGTTGAACTACTAGATGATGATCTCGATATTTGTTTCTCTGTATGAACTTTTTCTATCAATGTTTCAGATGGCTTAGCATATTCTTCCTTTTCAGAAGAGGAGATTGGTGTAGAAATAGATTTTCTTGAACTTGTCGTTGACTTATCATCACTATCTCTTCTTATTAATGATGGTTTTAATGGATAATGATGATCTTCATTTTTAAATGAAATAACCGATGAATCTGGAACGGATTTTTTAGAAGTACTCGATGAAACTCTTGATGATTTTCTACTTTCATCCTTTGTTCCTGTGAAAAATAAAATCTCTAGTTTTTGAATACAAATATTTATCATTATCTTACTGTCGATTGATTGTTGATCAGGTGTACTAGACTTGTTATCCTTCAAATTCTCAAATAAAGTTTTCTTAGATTTAGGAAACAAAAATAACTCACAAATATTAAATTCGAGTTGTTGTCTATTGATTCATTCCGATGTAATTCATCTATTTTGTTTTCATTCTGTGATGATACTGAACTTCGTGCCCTTGGACTCAGATTAGGCTAAACGTAATGTTCAAAATGAAAAATTATCACTCCAGATTATACATACTTGAGCTATAGTAGAAATACGATTTATTGTTTTTTCTAATGACTCTTCTTCTTCTTCTTCTTCTTCTTCTTCTTCTTCTTCTTCTAGAATCAATTAAATAACATTTGAAAGAATATTTGTATTTATATTCAAATACTTTCTGACGTTGGACTTGGTGTTCGAAGTAAAGCTGTCGAACAAAATTCATTTGTTGATAGAACACTTGGTACAATTGATTTTCGATAAGAAGATGGATGAATAATAGTTGATGGTGTTGGTAATATTTCTTTTATTCGTTTTTCAAATCGACAACTTTAAAAAAAAATCTTAAAAATATAAGAGAAGAATGTCACATGAATATACCTTCGACAAGGTTGTGATTTTTGGACATTATATATGCCAAATAAACCATATTTACTACCTAATCGAATATTACGATTATGTTTATATTCACAACAGACAGATATTCGACTATCAATAAGACCATTGATATATAGAGCTACAGCAAATGGATAGTCTTGATGACGACGAGATTCAAATTTGAATAATTCTAAATAATATTTATATTTAAAATAAAGAAATAAAAGAATAAAAAAGCAAAATTTAATTTACGATTTGGTTTAACAAAGCCTTTAAAAACAATAAGATTTTCACCACCACAATGTTGTTGCATTACAACGATTTCATCACCATTTGGTTGAAACCACTTGTTTTTACAATCAATGACTATTTGTGGTCCATAATAGATCATAGTTACTTCACAGTATTCATTATTTGATGTATTCTAAAATAAAAATTCAATTTATTTTTTTTAAATAGTAATCATTTAGACTGTATGTAAAACACTACATGTTTTTAAGACAGTGAATTTTAAATAATATGCAGTATATCTCAATTAAAATATAAATGATGTCTACTTCATTATAGAATCCTCAATTTTGCACACAATCTCTATTAAATGTAATGAAAATTTTCATTTTATCAACAATATAATTAGATTTTTTCATTATGTTTCATTTTAGACGAATGTTTAAATCAGTTATTTATTCCATTGTAATTATTAACGAATCGATTAGAGCCCAGCAGGATAAACTTTTTCTCAAGTTCCGAATCCCATTTCATTTTACATTTAAAATGTATTAGCCTTCTTCTTTATTGAATCATTTATATTTACAACTATTCATCGGTTCACTTAATCATAAATTCATTGGCACTATCAGCTATTTATCATTATCAAAGAAAAAAATGTAAAAGAGATTATGGAGAAAGAAAATCTTCAATGCAAATCCATATATTTTTTCTTCTAAAAGTCAATCAATTAAATTAACATTTTGAAAACTTATGTCGACATATATATAGTATATATTACCTTTGCCGTAGTTGGACGACGAACTAATTGATTTTTTGCATTTATTGGTGGATGTCCTGCTGATTTAGCTCGTACTGATGAACGTTTGTGACCAGTCTATTAAATAAAAACTTTCGAAGAATATATTCAATGATTTTATTACTAACTGGGGATGGTGTACGAGCATTCCTACTTCTTGAACGTTTAGTAACATGAACTAAACTAATAGTTAGCATAGATCGTTGTTGCGGATGTCTTGATTCCTATGAAATATTCGAGATCGCATGAAAATAAGATACTAAAAATTCTAATAACAAACTCGAATTTTTTGTACTCGAGCACGTTTTATAGCAAAGTCAAATTGATTACGAAGAAATGCTTGACGTTTTTGTTCATCTTCTACGATACTTAAAAACAAACAGAAGAAAATAATTTAAAATCAATATGAAAAACAAAAATCGAATTTACTAATTAGTTATCATATGTGATAATTTTGCTTTTATTTCTCTACGTTTCGTTCGTCTAGCAAGTGCAACTTCATAAGATGGAGGTGGTAAAATATCACCATGACGATTGATCTATTTCACAATACATAAAAGAATGTTAAAATTCTTTCAAAATAAAAATCTGTACCAATCCAACTTTTATTAAATGTCGTCGAATACGTTTATTATTAAAATATGCATTTAAATGTGGATCAGTTAAACTTTCGTAATTCCTATAAAAAGAAAACATTGTTTTTTTTTTGTAAATAAATCAATAGTTTTTCGTATTTAAACTTACCGTGAATCCATTGTTTAATGTGTTTTTGAACGGTTGTTCTCGTAAGAAGAATATACTTATACTCCTTCAATTTATATAGTGAAAAAAAAGTAAGATTTTTTTTTCTCTTCCTTTTTCGTCTTCAAAAATGCTATTTTGTCAATAAAAACAATTCTCTTGTCATACAAAATCTATCGAACAAAATAGAGAACATAGAAAAGAAAAATTCAAAATATTTGCAAAACGAACAACGATTGAATAAAAAGAAAAATCATGTTCTTTTTTCTTTTTACTACGTATATGAAAAAAAACGACAAGTATTTTAACGAATAAGATTATATCAAATTAATGAGATTTTATGTATTGATTTTAATTAAGATTTAAGTCCGAGATGTTTAGGATGATGGCAACAGCTTTCTTTTGAAGGACATTGCAAATTTGAATGAATTTGCACGGAATTTAAGTATTTAAAAGTGTTAGACTCTGAGGCTCGATGAATCTACTTAATTGATGACAACAGTTCTAATTCGATATATTTTTTTCAAATAGTATCGTGTCAGTGATAGGTTTTCAACCGTTATGGAAATCTCAGATTTGAGTTACAGAATATGCGAAAGACAAGATGTGTTATAAATAAACGAAATAAAATCTCTTCAAATAGGAATTTTATAGTAGACTTTAAATATAAAACTGTGTCTTCGTTTTTTTGAATAGTTTATCGAATATGTAATTTATTGACAAAAAAATGAAGTCTATCGTTTAATGGTCATAAACATGATTTCAATAAGTCAAGATCAGAAGGTTTCGTATTCAACGTGGCTTTTACCTACTCTATTTATAATTAATAAACTTAACCGTGCAATGAATGCGAAAGCTAAAATGATTGAGAAAAGAATTCAAAGAGTACAGGTAAGTATGACTACTAGTTTACATCAATTTCTATAGTTTTAATGTATAAGGTTTAATCAAGATTGTTTATTGCGCACATTTGATGTTAATCAAATATCTAAACAAGTTGATTATGTAAACTTGGTCTTCAAAAAAAAAAATATTATTTGGATTCTATAGGTCAAATTTACTATTAAAATTTGATTGATTTGTTGTTGTCAACCGTCGTTATGTTTCGATTCATTAAAAACAAAACAGAAAGAAAAAAAGAACTTTTTTTTTTCATTCCTGTCAAATCGAAACAATATTTTTCTCTTGTGTCATTCTATTCCAAAGAATATTTTATTGTCGGGTGTTCACAAAAAAAGATTAGCATTATGGATGAAATTATTAAACAATTAACACATGATAATAATCTTTTGGAACAACAATGGTCTGATATATTTAGTCGTATTGAAGAAGCATCAATATCTAACGATTCTAAATTAATTTTAAATGCACTTGTTGATTATTTACTTACAGAACCAATTGACTCATTACCATGCCTTTTAAAATATTTATTAATTACTATGGTAATTGAACAATTAATTAAAAAAGAAGTCTCTATTGAAATTAATGATTTAATAAATGTTTTTATTCGTATTCTTGATTCGTCAAGAGTTGATCAATTGTATTTAAAATTTCTTGAAACAATTTATAAAAATTTTGAAATTGGTGAGCGACTGTGTTCAACACCAATTAAGACAGATTTAATTGAAAAAATTCTTCAAAGTTTACAAAAGAAAACATTTGTATTTAATTCCAATGAAGATACTGAAAAATGGGAAACATTTTTAACTCAAACTATTTTTTCGAATTCAACGAATGATATGAATATTTTAAATAAACAAGATATTATAGAAGAAATGAAAGCAAATTTTCAACAATTTTACAAGTAAAATAAAGAAGTTTTACTTTTTAGTTTGATAATATACTCGATAAAGTTCTTAACAATCAAACTTTATTATGTTATCCTAAGAAATAATTGAAGACCTTCCTCTTCTTAGAAATTTCAATTTCATCGATAATTTTTTTCTTTAATCATATCAGAGTTATTTACAACTATAGAGTCCTACGAATAATTTGTTGTGAGAAGATGTTCTAATAATTCGATTATTTTAAAAAATATCAAACAAAGGATCTGCACGATCTAAAGTTCACATTAACGATAGAAATTCAAGTATAAATATCGAAGTAAAAATGAAATGTATATTGGTTTTTGGCATCGAAAAACGCCTGATTTTTAGATTATATACGGAAGTGTTACTTATTTTACTCTCCTATTGAACTTGGTCTTTACGAAAAAAACTTACTAATCATCCATTTCAAATAGTTGAAAAAAAAGGTTTTCAAGTTAGGTCAGTAACAGAGTTATATGCATTTATTAAGTTCTTATGACTTTTGAAACATCCATTTTATAAGTGAAGATTTATCAAAGCAAGGTTCAGATGTTATAGAGATTATGGTCGAGAAAATTTCGCTTCGACATTTCTAACGATCAGATATCAAAACAGATGTTTATAGAAGGGATCAAAATCATAAAAAAATTTCAACAGAAAAGACCTTAAAGTCATCTAAGCAAAACACTAGAACAATGTTTAAGAATTATAAATATAATGAAATTTATTTTAATTATATTACAATATCTTTGAAGAATGGATAAGGTAACTCTTTCATCGTCTTAGAAATTTCTGTTTGTCATGACCCATTTTGTAAAACAATATATTATTTAGACATGCTGTTCAACAGTCTCAACAATCATCAGTATGGTTAAAAATTGCAACAATATTAAATGAATCTTCAAGTAAAATATTCACTAATGAAACATCATGGAATATGATTTTATCCGATACAAATCTCTCAATTGAAAATATATCTTTTGATTGTATAACTCAATTAATTCAATCGTATAAAAATGATAATGAACTAGTAAAAATAGGTTATACAAAATTCTTAACAATATTTGAACGTTTAATTTTAGTAAATAATTATGATGATGCTTATCAATTATCTTCTAATATAATTATTCCAAATTTATCTATAATTGATCTTGAAATTTTATTTTGTACAATAATTCGACTTTGTCCAATAGTTGAACATCGAGATTTATTTTGTTCACGAATTCTCGATAGTCTCATTTTGGCATTAGCAAATTTACAAATCAAGAAAAACTTAGCAATAATTGTTTTTGATTTAGCTTTAGCTATTTTGAAACTATGTGTATATGATGCACCAGATTTATCATATAGTTTATTAAGAAGAAACGATTTTTATCCATGGCAAGAATTAATAAATGGTTTAGTTGATTTAGTAAAAACTTGTATTTCATATGATATAATTATTGAAAATAATTTTTTTAGTAAATTAGATCAATTAGAAAATATTATTGATTTAATATATAGAAAAATACAAGCTTATCCAATAATTTCTAAAGTTATTCATCCAATTAGTGTTGAAGCTGTTCTTCGATGGTCAAATATTCAATATAATGGAAGTCATCATGTTTATCGAATGGGAAATTCTATAATGAATTTAATTGATTTACGACAAATAAATGAAGATATATGTATGAAATTTATTGATGCTATACAAACTCGAGTTCATTGTGATAATGAAGAAATAAACAATAAGAGTCGCCTCTTTTTTAATGTAAGTTTAATTTAAACAAAAAATTCTTTTTTGTGAAACTCGATCTAGAACGAATGTTGAATTATATAGAATAAAAACTTGCATCGAACATCTCTCTTTCCCACAAACAGTGACAGACATCATCATGGAAACGTCATAGATCATGCCAAACAGGACTGGAGAGATTCTCGAGAAATAAACTTTATCCCGTTTTGCTTTTATGCTTTTCAAGCTACTATGACTTTGATATTTTTCAATCGTTAATCTTTTTGGATGTGAGTTGGGTGTGCGTAGATAGGCATACTTCCTTTACCCACATCACAACACAAGAGTACAATAGGATAAATTTGATTTTTCATAGACTTATGCAGGATCGACAGACATCTTAATAACGCCTCTCTCTTCTTCACAGATCGCGATAGACGTTTTTGATATCCGATCAAAGACCGTATGTCAATAATGTCTCGTTATAATATATGAATTACTTCTTTATTTCGTTTCTGTATGATATAGTAAATGGATGATGAAGAAATGTATCAAAAAACTAGATACAACAAAAATAATATCCCTGTAATTAGCAACAGCAATTGCATAGTGTTTCACATTTTAACCCCATAAGAATTACGAAAACACCTTTGTTATTCTTTTATTTTATCAATTTTTTTCATTTAGAATATGTCGCAACATCTTGGTGAGTTTATTATGCAACTTAAAAGACTTTCACATAATATACATTCAAAATTAGCTACTCTCTTTTTATCTCTACTGGATTATTCATTCTATGATGAAGATCACAATATGACATTTCACTATGTTACTTTAATAAGTATATTATATAGAACAGCTTCATGTATTTTTAATGAAAATGATGCTCGTCTTTATGAACCATTCCTTGATCGAATGTATATGAATGTTAAAGATGATAATGAAACAATGTTTCATCAAATATGGGTCAATTTTTGGCTTATTGCTGGTGTACAAGTACAAACAATAGCTGCTAATCACATTGAACAATTTCTTGATCATACATTCAATCGCAAAGATATGTGTCTTAGCAGTTTATTATTAGTAAGTAATTTTATGTTGCAAATAAGATGATTTAAATTATTATTAAGCTGTTTTTTTAATAATATTATGTTTTGTAGAATTCAAAAATGAAATATGTAAATGTAAACTTTATTCGAAATTTTTCGCCTCTCTTAATAGACAGACGCGTAGTAAAAACTATTGCCATTTTCTTTGACTTGCTTGAATGTTTAAATTATACTTCATTACATAAAAAACAAAACGATACATTTTTATACTAAAGTATTTGTCAGTCTAGTTGAAATACATGAGTTCTATATTTTCACTTCATAGGACTATGCTGACAAGATTTTTGATAGTATGAACGATTGACGAAAAAAAACAGTAGAAGAAAAACTAAATAAGTCATCAAAAAAGTGTTTTCTCTATGGTTCATTGATTTATATGACTTTTTTTTTTATTACATAACTTCAAACTATTTTTGTTTGATTATAACGCGATCACGAACAGAAAGTCCCGTGATCATCCCTAATAATTACAAATCATATTTTGTTTTTTTGAAATCTCCACAATAATATTCTAGACGTTGAGTGTTCAACATACTGAACTATTTTATTCTCATTTCGATGATCTTGTTAATATATTATTCACTGACAATGGACAATATTTAACTAACTTATTTGGTTTATTTTTATTAATCGTCAAAAAATATCCAGAAATAGTTTCATCGAAACATATTGATTATATATTTTCATCAATAGAAACAATTTCATTCAGTAATGAACTTTGTATAATTATTCAAACACTTAGTTGTGTAGCGAATTATCATCCTTATTTATTTGATAGACATTGTGGAAAAATTATTTGTTTAATTATTGAAAAACAAAATTTATTAATATTTGAATGTTTTCGAAATTATATTATTTCATCAATAATTATCAATAATGAAAATAAAGCAAATGAATATCTTAATATTCTTATTGATATTTTAAAAAATAAAAAATGTTCAAATGAAATTCAACAAGATATTTTCTATACTTGTTTACTTATCGGATTGAAATATAAACAATTATTAATTAATCGACGTTATGATTTTAAAGTTTTAGGTTCAAATTTAATAGTTAATTATATTGATAATGCTACAATCAGTGAATTAGATCAGACAACAATTAAACAAGCTCAACTAGAAATTGAAAAAATCGAATTATGTATTAATAAAACAAAGATGAATATCAAAACAGAACAACTAAATGTAAGTTTTGACAATGTTTATTTTGTATAGCAATTTCCTTTTTACCATAGACAAATAATATTCCTTCTTGGAGTTATCAAGTATCTAAATTACTTAATAATCCCAGTAATAATGATTGGCGTTTACTCAGTAAACAACTTGGATTTTCATGTAGTGAAATAAAACATTGGTCAATGCAAACAAATCCTTGTATGGCTTTACTTAACGAATGGTTTATAACACATACAACAGAAGAAGCTATTTATAGTCTTATTAAAGTACTTAATGATATTGGTCGATATGATGTTGAACAAATTATTCGACAAGAAGTATTAAAAACAGGACAAACTATTCCAAATGATTTATCAGTTGATATAAAACGTCTACCACCAGTTTTTCTCTCATTTCATTCTAATGAACAGATACGTGTCACTAAATTGAAAGATCATTTAGAACAAGCTGGTTATGCTTGTCAAATGTATGATGAGCAAACTGAAATTAATATTCTAGAGAGTCTTATTCGTGGATCTAAAGTGATCGTATGTTGTATTAACATACTTTATGATCAATCAGAAAACTGTTCAAAAGTATTTCATTTGATATTAAATATGAAAAAACCTTTCATTCTTTTATATATGGAAGAACAAACATGGCCATCTGAAAGTAAACTTAAATCTATTCTTGATGATTTTCTATATATTGAATTTTATAATGATACAAAAGTGAATGATTGGCCTGAAAATAAATTTATTGAATTACTCAGTCAAATTCGTTATCATGTTGCACCTGATCCTGATATGATTTGTGAACAATATCATCATTGGTTCGTACCTCGTCTTGATAATCTTATCTTTTTGAAATCATCAAATGAACAGAAACAAAACAATTCCATATCATTTAATGATATTCCATTAGTAGTTTCTCATCCGCAAATAATTATTTCCTATCAATGGGATTGTCAAAAAGATGTTCTTAATCTTTATAAGCAATTAACACAATTAGGATATCGAATTTGGCTTAATATATTTCAAATGGGAGGTGGCGATTCATTGTTAGACAAATATAATATTGCGATTCAACAATCATTATGTTTACTTGTTTGTATTACACCAAAATATATGAAATCTATTAATTGTCAACGTGAAATATCATTAGCTAATACTTTTCATAAACCTATAATACCATTACTACTCGAAGAAACGAACACATGGCCACCTCCGGATCTCATATTATCAATATTTGTTCACAAATCATATATTGACTTTCGACATTCAAATAGATATGATAGATGGACAGGGAAACAGTTTGTATTGTTACTTGCTCAACTTAAGAAAATTATACCTAATGTGGAGACGGATAAACCACGACATTTACTCGAGATGCAAAGACCTATATCTGCTTCTCGACATAGTAATAATAATGATCAGCGATCAAAACGAATATCAAGTGCACCAATTATTCCAAAAAGTCAAGCATGTTCTCTCATGTAGTAATTAATTGAATGGAAAAAAATAAAATAGAAAATATAAGTTATATAGTTCTAATAAAACTTAGTAGTTCGAATTAGAAGTCTTGTGATCGTATAGAAAGTGAAAATGTTGGAGAAAGTTTGTCGTTTGGATTTGAACACATTTTAATATTTGTTTTAGTTAACATTTGATTTGTAATGAGACTAATAAGATTCATTATATTTATGACTATTGTCTTTCAATTCATATTTCTCAGCAAGTTTACTTGATTTAATTCTATTTGTATTTTATTTATTTGTACACAACACGTAAAGAGAAGACTAATTATCTATATTTACATCTAAAAATCAAAGATATCGGGGAACAGAAAAAGTATGGAGGTGTACTGAACTTTCTTTTTTCATTTGAAGTAACTCACAAATTGTTGATTCTTTTGTTTCCTTCAAATTTCAGAGGTATTTGTTTCAGATTCAGCATGAATAACTGAATCTAAGAAGGTCATTTAAGATTAGCCTCACGGACTCAGCTTTCATGGAAAATCTAAATGTATCAGTTTTTTAACATAAAAAACGTACTTTTAGGAAAACTTAATCATTTAGGATGATAGAAAAAACTCGATTTTTTTATCAAAAGGCTATCAAAAAAAAAATAATGAAATACATATGGTTACTTAGTTCGTTGACCTCAATCTAACCATGTATAAAAAATAAAAATAAAAAAAGCATTTTACTCGGATTATGCTACTGGAACCAGAACGGATACGATGACCGTGTCTAAAACCGAAGCTTGAAGTGAAAATGCGATTCAGTCGTGAATGAAAAATAGATGCTCTTGCTGATGTGTGAAATTGTCGTTTGAGATTAGGTTTGACTAGGACTATGCTTTTGAGAGAGAGAGAAACGAGGTTCAGTACAACCTTGATATTTTGTCCTCTGTGTAATGAATGTAAAAAGAATAGGCAACTGCGTGTTATAGCGCACATTCTGCCGAATATTCAACTGACTCTTCATCGCCGTCCTTAAATCTTTGCGAACGACAGGAGACAGAGCAAGCAAAACGACGGTAATATTTGTATGACATAAATGCAGTATATAACTAATACTTCATGCTCTATTGATTCACAAAAGCTCAACTTATTTCGCGATGCATATATAGACAATGCAGTACTTTATTCTCATCCATACAACAACGTCGATAGATTACAGTGTTATTCTAGTGCTGAACATACAAGATTTCGCATGAAATCAACGAGTAAATGTATGTATTTCGAAAGTGCAGTCTCTTCAGAAAGCCTTTGCGGCCATAAGTATCGAGCGGATATTCCGATTCTCAAGTAGAATTAATAACACTTTATACTGTTATTTTCGTATCATTTCGTTTGTCTTTTTTCAGCAATAACCTTTCAGAAATTCTGTACAAAATGCATACCAACTGATCGAAAAAAATCGATTAAAAGTCCAATTCACAAGAGTGGTATCATGAGAAAGAGCGCAAAAAAACTGAGTATCACCCGAAAATATGAGCTCAGGGTATGGTGTAATCCCAGGCAAAAATTTTTAAAATACTATTCTCTGCAAGAATGACTTTGTTGTTCTCTCTATGTATTTTTTGTCGTTCCTTCAGCTGCGATGATGTATATATTCACATGTGACAGAACGAAAAGAAAAATTTTTCATACGAATGATGATAAGAGATACGAGCTTGTATCGTTCTACATAAAGATATGTGAAAAAAAATCTATTTAAAATAAATTAAATAGTAAATAATATAGTTTTTCATAGAGTATATATGAATTTTAAAGTCCAGTAGCATTCTCTCTAGTTATAGCATAATGTGTTCTTTCAATCGTCTTAGATTCAATTTACCTTCAAAGTTTCAAATTAATTCAATAGTTTTTATTAGTCGAAAATATAAACAACTTAATT